TAAGGAAACCACAGACTCCGTTTACCTGTCATGGGGTTTTCCGCTAACCTCCTCTTACTGTTCCAGGGTGTGACCAGGGCACCACACTGCGCCCAGCTTTTCATTTTATTTTATAACTAGAAGCCTGGTGCCCAAAATTCGTGCATGGGGGAAGGGGGTCCCTTCATCCAAGCCTGTGCCCTCTCCAATCTGGGACCCCTCTCACAATCCAGGACCGCTAACTCATAACTGCGCACCTGCCTGCCTGATTGCCCCTAACTGGCTCCCCTGCCAGCCTGGTCACCCCCAACTGCTCCCCGCTACCGGCCTGGTCGCCCCACGCAGCCTGCTGCTCAGTCTTTTGGTTGTCCCTTACTAACCCCCCTCCCAGCCTTGTGGCCCCACTCAGCCTGTTCGGTCGTCCATTCGGTTGTTTCGGATGTGACGGCCCCTGGTTCTTTATATATATAGATTTTACGTTTCTTTCTGTCATCCCATCACCTCCTTCCAAGGCCAAAGGGACCGCAATTATTCGCACATGCCCAGGGCGGGAAGCGTCTGCACGTGAGCGAGGACAATTTGGAGCAATTTCCCTGGATGCCCATCGGGAGGGGCGGCCTCCTGGTGGGACTGGCAGCTGAAGGCCATGCAAAGGGCCGGGTGCTGGGAGCAGGGCCTGGGTGCTGGGAGCAGGTCTGGGGGGCACGCAGCGTGCGGTGCCAGGGGGACCCAGCAAAGGAGCCCGAGGGGAAAGCAGGGGAGAAAGGTCACACAGGGCGGTGGGTGCCAGGGCTGGCAGGCATGACAGGAGGGGCCGCAGGGCCAAGGAGCTGAACCAGGCTCGCACCAAGGGGTTTCCGCGAGAAATGATGAATCTCTCCCATTAAGCACGTCATGGCCGGGCTTGAAGTCGCAGATGAAAACAAAGGTAAGATAATTACTTCCATAACACGCCTGGCTGTGAAAAACCACATCCGCATAAAAGTGTGTTAATCTCCCAGCCAGGAGTGGGCAGGAGGGCTCCATGAAGGTGTGCAAACTGCGCCCGTGTGTGTGTGTGTGTGTGTGTGTGTGTGTATGTGTGTATGTGTGTGTGTGTGTGTAACGTCACAGTGGGCTGGGTTCCCAAAAAGGTGTGACATTAAAACAAGGGAGAGACTGAGTCTAGTTTCCCCCGAGACCAGGTTTTAACACCAAAGGTCCTGACCCCAGATTCAAGGCCTCTGCTGTGGAAGTAACACAGACACCACGATTGGTTATTATACACTAGGGGCCCATGCACTGGGCGGGGGGGGAGGGGTCCCTCAGCCCAGCCTGCCCCCTCTCACATACTGGGAGCCCTCAGGGGATGTCCTAGTGACGGCTTAGGCCCGCTCCCTGCTCCCCTTGGGGATAGGGCCTAAGCCGCAGTCTGGCCTCCCTTTGTGGGAGGTGACCGGGCTGATCAGGGGAAGGAACCAGCCCCATCACCCCGCTGCTGCAGCCACTGCCAGTCACCGCAGCCAGCAAGGTGTTTTCATCAACACGGACTCCAGTCCCTTCACCATGAAAAAATGACAACTTTCTTTAGGCATTTTCAAGATGTGTCTTTCATATAATAATAATTTCTTTATTATTGTTTTTATCCTCACCTGAGGATATGTTTCCATTGATTTTTAGAGAATGTGGAAGAGAAAGGGAAAGAGAGAGAAACATCAAAGTGAGAGGAACACTTTGATTGGTTGCCTCCTGCATGAGCCCTGACCTGGGCCCCGGCCAGGGAGGAGCCTGAACCTAGGTACATGCCTTTGGCCAGAATTGAACTCAGACCCTGCCATCAGCAGGCCAAGGCATTATCCACTGAGCCAAACTGGCTAGGGCAGGATATGACATTTCTTAGCCCTCCAGCAGCACACCTTCGTTTTTTTTTCACCAGGAGTGTGGTGAAAAACCCTAGATCACCTTTTTGGATTCTTATTACCCAAGTTACTAAGAATATTACCAGTGGTATACAGGAAGCTTAACCAATGAGCGGTCAGAAAAGGTGTTTTCTCTGTAGTTCACACCAATCGCTGGCTTGCCCCCCTCCCCCACCCTCACCCATGCCTGACACCTTGGCCAGAGGTGTCAGGCCTGGGCAGGGGACCCCCATCTCCCTCTGATCGCCGGCTCGGCCCCCCGCCCAGGCCTGACGCCTCTCGCCGAGGCATTAGGCCTGGGCAGGGGACCCCCAGATCCCTCTGATTGCCGGCTCCACCAACTACCCAGGCCTGATGCCTCTGGCCCAGGCTTCAGGCCTGGGCAGGGGACCCTCATCTCCCCCCCAACCACTGGCTTCTAGGCGGCTTCTGGGGCTTCTGGGGCCGGCCTGTGGCCCAGGATGGTGGCACGCGCTGGTGACTGCACTGTCCCTCCCTGCCTGCAGTATGCAAATTCGCTGCCATCTTTGTTGGCGATTAATTTGCATATCACGCTGATTAGCCGATGGGAGGCGTAGCGAAGGTACGGTCAATTACCATGTTTGTCTATTATTAGATAGGATGATGCACACGCACTTTCACATTACACAGATGAAGGTTTTCTAAAATCAGCTAAATGGGCCCGGCCAGTGTGGTTCAGTGGTTGAGCATCAACCTATGAACCAGGAGGTCACGGTTTGATTCCTGGTCAGGGCACATGCCCAGGTTGCAGGCTAGATCCCCAGTGTGGGGCGTGCAGGAGGCAGCTGATCAATGATTCTCATCATTGATGTGTCTATCTCCCTCTCCCTCTCCCTTCCTCTCTTTGAAATCAAATGACAGATTAGGAACTGGATTGTGTGCATTGCTAAAATGATGGCAGGTTTTTTCGGTTTGAGGGGAATAAATATGCAATAGGCAGCCTTTCTGTTTCCAATCCCGCTCCTCACAGAAAGGGGTCTGAACAGAAGTGCACCCCTTGGGCCTCCGTCTCCGATTCTGGACATAATTGTCCTTTTCGTGATGAGCCAGGCCATTGCTAGGAGCCTGCCGTCCCGAGGGGCGGGCACTGGTTCCCGGGCCCGTCTCTCAGGCCTCTCCTCGCATGTGGTGACAGTGTCCCCGGTCCCCTGGTTCTAACCGCATCCCCTCGGCCTGCAGCGGCCGGAAGCTGTGGGCGGGGACACCGGATCCCAGCCCTCAGACTCCTTAGTGAAACCAAGGGTCTTAGTGGCCTGTGGCCTCCTGCTACCCACCCTGGCTCTGTCTGGGGCCATCTCTCTACTCAGAGCGCATCCGGAATTTTCAAAATCTGCTTGGCTTGCCCCTTACCCTCCCAACCCCCCCGCGTCCCCCCTCCCTCCCCAGACTGCGACCCAGGAGGCCTGGGCGATGCTGGCCTGGCTGTTGAAGATGCTTCCCAGGCGATGCTGATGGTCACGTGGGGTCCCGGGAGGCTGCGGCCCTGAGTCCAGCCTTTGCACAGACCGGGCACTGGTTGGGCCCCGGAAGGAGGCCAGCGTCTAAAATCCAGCGGCCCAGTCGCGTGTCCTCGCTCTCCTCCCACCTCCTCGGGCAAACCCCTTCCCTTACGTCCGAAAAAATAATTTCCAAGCCACACATGTCATAGACCAAAATAGAGATTTTTATTTCCAAACGTAGAGCAGATATGTTTTCAAAAACATGAAGCAACGACGAAAACCTCCAGCCGCCTTTGAGAGCACCGACTTCCGACGTGGAAGCGGCGAGGGGGGCCGGGGCGAGCACTTCCGCGGGGCTTTACGGCGCAGCTGGGGAGAAGCTTGGGGTCCCCGTCCCCCCCGCGCGAGTGGGGGAGGCAGGGCTCCGCGGGCTGTGGACGGGATGCGAACCCAGATAACACACACGGTTCCAGGACGGCCACTGGCTGCGGCTCGGCGTGCCTTCCCAGAAGCTGAACGTATGGCAAATGCGTGTTTTACAGTCACAAGTAGCATGTCGGCGGGGGTATGGTCCCTGTGTGCGCTGCTTACATATTAGAACATTTCAGACAACGAAGTTAATTTGCTTTTGAAGTCAAAACCCACTTACCTAGTTTACACACACACACACACACACACACACGTGTACACAGTGCACACACACACACAGACACGCGCGCCTTCCTCTGTCACTTCTCTGCCAATGAACCTTCTAAAACAGGCACAGCCATGGTCTCTGGAGAGAGAGGAGGGAGTCAGAGCTGCCCCCAGCAGTGCTCGCCCAGCCCACTCTGCACCCCGCCCCCCCAGCCCTGCGAGGGTGGCCTGTGCCTCCAGGGGAAGGTAAGCACCGGCCTCCACCCACTGAGCAGAGGAGACGCCTGCTGTGGCCCAGCCCGGGCTGCAGAGGCTGCGCCTGGAGCACCCTCCGCCAATCAGGACAGACGGACCGGGTCAGACCCCACGTCCGCAGGGCCAGCGGCGTTGTGCCCTCAGCCCCAGCGTCCTCATCTCAGACACGGAGGAAAGGAACACCCACCGGAGCGTGTGGGGATTGAGGCCAACGAGGCGTGTGAGCCGCAGCACCACACGGAAGGCTGTTTCTGAGGCCGCCGCCCCCTCCGCCCCTGCCCGCGCGCCCGGGTCCACACCTCCCCTTACCCCACAGACCCCCCGGTCCCGCGGGTCCTTCCCACTCAGAGCCCAGCAAACCGGGCGGGAGCCGGAGACGGCTCAGCAGGTGACCAGCAGCCTGGACCGTGGACCATGCTCACCTGTGTTTCTCTCCCCTTCTCTCCCCTCTTTCTCTCCCTCTCTCCTTCTCTCTCTGTCGCCCTCTCTCCTCCCCGCCCCCCCCCCCCCCACAGCTGGGCTGAGCAGGGACACTCCCCTCTTCCTCCTCCTCTCCCTCTTTCTCTCCCTCTTTCTCTCCCTCTCTCTCTCCTTCTCTCTCTGTCGTCCTCCCCCCCCCCCCCAACAGCTGGGCTGAGCAGGGACACTCCCCTCTTCCCGCCCGGCACAGTAAGGCCCTTTGCGGCTCTTGTTCAGGAAGCCAGACGTCATGAAAACCCTGATTGTCTCACGCACTCTGCGCAGAAGAGATTACACTTAGAGCACTAGTAAGTGGTTGTTCGATCCCATTACAACTGCATTTATATAAAGTAATGAAAATATCAGGTCTCCTTTTTAGAAAAAGTTATGCAAACAAGCAGACTAAGGCATCATCATCAAAGTTTACAAAATATACAGACACTCCCGCCCGCCAGCCCACACGCTCCACACGGAAGCACCACGTTCCCGCTCAAAGCCCTTGCTTCTGGAAGTTACTGACAAGGCGGGCGGGGGGCCTGCTCCTGGCCGTCCTGGGCAGGGTGCCCCCTGGGGGCGGGGTGCACCCTGGGGGCGGGGTGACCTTGCCCCCTTGCTGTGTGCCCACAGGCAGGTAGGTCACTGCCCCTCTCTGGGCCTCAGCCTTCTCCCTGTGAAGGGGGAGGGGCAGTGGAGACACTGAAGGCCCTGCCAGCTCGGACCGTCTAGGGTGGACGCACAGGGCCCCCTGCACCCGGCGTGGCTGCTGGACTGAGGTCTGGGTGGCGCAGCCCTGACCCAGCAGAGGGTCGCCCGCGGGCGGCTTCTCCCTGCGGCGAAGCGGGCTTTCTGCTGGGGGCCCGGCACGGTTCCCAGCAGCACCGCCTTCCCGCGCCCGAATGTCCGGTTCCTTTTGGTTCTGGGACCCCGGGTCCAGCGGCGAGAGCTGTGCCCAGGCCGGGCCTGGCGAGAAAGGGAGGCCAGTGTGCCGGGCGGAGGCGGGGGGCATCGCACGGGGCCAGGGCTCCGGCGCCTCAGTTTCCCCCGGCTTCCGGGGCTTCCAGGGTCTGTCACGCCTTCTGGCTCCACAGCCCCGAGGAGCTGCCCTGGGCCTGCGGGTAACTGAGCAGACCGGCTCGATGGGTAAAGCGCGGGCGCTGGGCATCTCTGAGAAAGGAAAGCTTCGTGTTGATTTAGGGAAAACACGATCCAGTTATAGCGCTCAGGAGCCCCCGGAGTCCCCGGGGAGGAAGGGGCCTGTTTCCGGCCTCGGGGCCCAGCAGAGAGAGGGCCGGCCCTCCCAGATGGTGGGGGGGCCGCGGCCCAGGCCTGGCGGAGGGCCAGGTGTGGCGCCCGGAGCTGGCTCCCTTTCAGGGGCACGTGGGGGCACTCTTGGTCCCGAGGATCTGCCTCTGTCCAGAGCCCCTCCAGGGAGGAGGAGGGAGAGCCTTTCCGGCGGCTGAGCCGCAAGGCTGACCCCTCACCTCTGTCTGGGGCCCTCACTTCCTAGTGTGACGGGCTCCCCTCCACTCCAGGGGGGACAGGACCAGCTCAGCCCAAGAGTGACGGGGGGCGGGGGGCATCTTCCCTCACGGGAGGCGGCTGCTCACAGGGCGCACCCCTCGCTCCACGGAGATCTTAGCCCTGAGGTCTCTCCCTGAACAGGACACGCAGGCGCCATGGAACTGCGACTCTCGCCCTGGTCCGTGCCATCGGGGCCCGCGGCGCCCCATCGGCCTGCCCCTTGGTCCTTCCCGGGCTGCTCTTCCAGGCCCCGCCCTCCCTGGAGGTCACTCTTCACTGCCCTCGCTGGGCCTGCCAGTGAGCGCCCCCATTTCTGCTTCTGTCCAGTTGAAAATGAGACAAGCATGTCCTCCGTCATGGTGCCTAACACAGGAGCCACTGGGCCTGAGCGGGCCCGTCCGAACGCCAAGCAGAGGCCTCAGTAGCCCTGGGCTGGGGGTGGGCTTCTGGGTAGGAGGTCACCCCGAGCGACATGCTGCGTTTCCAGGGCTGACGGCAGACCCCCAGTCCAGGGCAGCCCTTTCCCCACCCCGAACAGATCCTCCCCCGAAACCGTCCGCACGAGCCTGCACATGCAGCGCACAGAGTCCTGTACGTCGGTGCTGGTCCCGCCCAGCGCACGTGCAGCATAAATAGACAGACAACACCGTAGAAAAAGTCGTTCTGTGCTGGGAGCACCCGCACAGTCTTTGTCCCGGCAGCTCTGCCGTCCACCTGCCCATGTCCAGCGTCCCCGTGTCCTGAGGAGGCCGGAGGAGAAAGTCACCGGTGAGCCCCGCGGCTAGGTGGGCGGGGGGCCGCTGTAGCGGAGCATGAGCCTGAAGGAGCGGGCGAAGTTGTTGGCCAGTGTGCAGCTGCGGGCCTCCTCGCCCACGGGGAGCAGGAGCAGCAGCAGCAGCAGCAGCAGCAGCAGGAGCAGCTGCAGGGGCAGCGCCACGCAGCACACCCTCCGGAGGAAGCCGCCGGGTCCTCGCCGCGGCCGGGCCTGCGGACAGAGCAGGTGTGAATGGGCGGGGTGCTAAGAGCAGGTGTGAATGGGCGGGGAGGACGCCGGGGGAAGCAGTGGGCCTGGGCCACCTCTCTGACCGCACGGCCTCAGTCTTCCCATCTGTGAAGTGGGCCCAATGTCAGTGTTGCCAGAAACGAAGATCTCTCGTTTTCTCAAACCATTGGAGGCATGAGAGGAAGAACAAGCACATAGAGTTACGGGCTCTGCCAGTTACTATGTGAATCTTTGCCTGGCTGTGAGTCCTAGGCGTGACTCTTGAGAAGGTCACTCAACTTCTCTAAACTTCAAGTCTCTCAACTATAAAAAGGGGTAATAATGATACCTACCCAGCAGAGCTGTTGTGAGAAATAAATGAGACAGGGCCTGCAACATAGTGGGTACTTAAAACTACTGTCATTATTATTATGGTGCATCACTAATATCATCATCTACACCAGTCACCGCCACCATCACCATTAGCTTCATATCATCATCATCACCACCGCCATGTTCATCATCATGTGTGTCAACTTCACTTTATCCTTCTCCTTCACCACCATCTTCATCATCAACGCCATCCATCCTACAGAAGGACACCCCAAATCCTAGAGGGGCTGGCCGGTTGTGCCTCCACGGGAGTGCAGGGCCAAGAGCTGGCCGCTCAGGGAAGTGGAGGCCCCACGGTCATGAGGCAGCACGTGCAGGGCCGGCCCAGCTCGCGGACACCTGGCTGACTAGGATCCGCGGCAGAGGCTGTCACACACTGGCGAGGTGACCCTCGGCGAGTTAGCAACTTCTCTGAGCATCTGTTTCCTTCTCTGAAAAATTGGGATAAAACAGTGATGCCCATCCCCCATTTGCCGGGTTGTGGTGAGGACTCAACGTATATTTGCACACCAATTAAAAGGTAAATAAGCTCTTAGTAGCAGTACTATTATTGTAGAATATATCTGTTGGCTCCTTGTAGAACCAAAAGTTCGCTCTCCAGGACACCAGAAGCTATAATCAAGTGATGATGATGATGATGATGATGGTGAGAATTATGAGGATGGTAGTAATGATGATGATGATGATGATGGTGGTGGTGATGGTGGTGAGGACGGTAGTGACGATGATGGTGATGGTGATGCTGATAGTGGTGAGGATGATGATGGTGATGATAGTGGTGCTGGTGGTGATGATGGTGGTGGTGATGGTAAGTATGATGAGGATGGTAGTGATGATGATGATGTTGATGGTGATGATGGTGGTGGTAGTGATGGTGGTGGTGATGATGATAGTGGTGAGGATGATGATGGTGGTGGTAATGATGATAATGGTGAGGATGATGATGATGGAGGTGGTGATGATGAGGGCTGTGGTAACGGGCAGGAAACAAAACTCTTTCCTGTGAACTTGAACCACAGGCTGGAGCTACCGGAGGTTGGCCGTCTACGTTTACACACTCAGCGTGGTCCACACAGAAACAAAACGAAACACAAGCCGCAAGCAGAGATTTTAATGTAAAGAAATCTCGGGTGGCCAGTGTCCTGGGGTGGAGAGAAGCCAATTCACATCCTCACGGGAAGAACTTGATTGAAATCAGACACCCCAATTTGGGAGATGTGAGAATGCGAAAAATTAGGAGCCTTAAAACTATAAAATGTGGTCAAATAAGCCACCCTTGGGCCCTCCGCATCTGAATCTACATCCCACTGAGCCAGACTACATCCCAGAGCCACAGTCGCAAACGCTCTCCCTGCCCGCAGGCTGGCGCACAGGCCGACCCGTTCACCCAGGCAAGCGAAGCACCGAAGAACCTGGTCCCTCAGCTCACGGTTTGCCTGGGGTAGGACGCCCCCCCGCCCCCCGGGCCCCCCCCCGACCCCCCCGGCCCGGGCCAGGGCAGAACTCAGCTGACTCACGGCCCCGCTGTAACTTGAAAAGCAATTACATTTCATGTGTCTGGACGCTGCAGCCAAACTTCTCGTGGCTGAGCTGGCAAGTGTGTGGGCAGCTGTGAATTTAATAAATCTTAATTATTCTGTTTATACAAACAAGCAGGCTGCAGCCCTGGACGCAGCGGGGGCCTCCGATGGCCTGGCACTCGGAGAGAAAAAAGGTGCGAAAGCAACTGCTCATAAATCATTCGCTTCGGGGCAGGTTTCCCTTCCCTTCGGGATACAAATAATACGCGCAACGTTTCTAAGTTGGCAAGGTGACAGCCTCTGAAGACAGCGCCGGGTCCTCCCTGCCAGGCTGCGTGTGCATGTGTGCACGTGCTCACACACCCTCACGCACGCACGTGCGCACACGCCGGCCAGCAACGGGAGCACCAGAGCCAAACCACAGGGAGGCCCCCCGACAGAAGTGTCACTGACCCCTTTGTTCACAGAAAGTGAAGCAGGGGCGGTGTCTGCAGGAGTCTCCTGGGCCCACATTTACATGGCAATTAAGAACCTACTATGTGTTCGACTAGTGTGGCTCAGTGGTTAAGCATCAACCCATGAACCAGGAGGTCAAGGTTCGATTCTCGGTCAGGGTACATGCTGGGGTTGCTGGCTCGATTCCCAGTAGGGGGCGTGTGGGAGGCAGCCAATCAATGATTCTCTCTCAATCATTCCTCTCTCTGAAATCAATAAAAGCTTAAAAAAAAAAGAACCTACTATGTGCTGGTGGTTACAAGAAATTTTCCCATCATGAGCTCGGTGGACCCTCCTTTTTTTCCACTGGAAAACGGGGTAAGTGCTCTCCAAGGATCACACACCCGACTCCGGTAACGAGCACACAGCTGTGAAGGAAGCAGCTTGAGCTCCCCCTGGCAACTTGCTGGAAGTGCAGGCTCCAGGCCACCCGAGACCTCCTGAACCCGAAGCTCTGGGGGAGGGACCCAAACGCTGCATAAACAAGCTGCCATGGAAATGAGCCCCGAAGGCTCCCGCATATGGGCCCCCGGTGCTCACTGCTCCATGGTGGGCTGAGACCTGTCGGCCAGGCCAGCCAGCGCCAGATTCAAACATTCACACAGCCGCTTGTTTTAATGTCGCCCAGGGCAGCAGATTTGGGGGGCCATTTAGAGCCTGCCTGCTTTGCATATCCCATGAAACTGTGCCCCACATCTGCCAGTCATAGATAAAAACAACAACCCTGCAGCTATAAAGACCCCTAGGCCGTGCCCGGCTGGCGTGGCTCAGTGGTTGAGTGTCAACCTATGAACCCAGAGGTCAGTTTCGATTCCCAGGCAGGGCACATGCCCGAGTTGTGGGCTCGATCCCCAGTGTGGGGTGAGCAGGAGGTAGCCGATCCATGATTCTTTCTCATCATTGATGTTTCCATCTCTCTCTCCCTCTCCCTTCCTCTCTGAAATCAATAAAAATATATTTGTAACCAGACCCCAAGCCGCTGCTGCCTTTCGAAGCTGCCTGACCCAGAGCCTGGCCGCTGTGCTCAGCAGACCAGCTGGACACGTGCACCCCCTCCCCCCACCCTCTCCGCCCGGCCAGCACGCACAGCCGGCCAGCGCAGGGCTTCGTTCCGCATTCGCTGGGTCTCAAGTGCCTTCAGCAGTGCTCGGGACAAAGTCAGCGCTCAGCAAATGCGTGTGACACGAATAAGTGAATGAAGGAGGAGAGAGCAGATAAACACAGGCTGCGCACACTATCCTGACCACAGGTGGCGGGGCACCCGAGCCGCGCTGGAGGCTGGAGTCGGCCACCAAGAGGCCCCTTCACGGAAATGTTTAGCGAGCACTTACGGGAGCGCGGCCCCAGGGGCCCCAGACATGGCTCCCCGCGGACCCCCGCCCGGGAGCTGGATAGATGAGGACTCCCACCCAGCGAGGGGCTTAGTGTGTGAGCGCTAGAGGCAGCCTAGAGGCCTGGCCCCATGTCCCCCGTGTCCCCCTAGGAGCCACCAGGCTGGACACTGGTCCTTCCCCAAGCCCCTCCCTGCCTCTCTGTTTCATAAGGAGGCTATTTGTTACCCTAAACTGGGGGCGGGGGAGGGGCCTTGCTCTGTAAAGAACTCCTACAGACTGCATTCCGTGACCTTCAAAACCAGGCCAGCGTTAACAGTTCCATTTTACAGATGGGGACAGTGAGCCCCAAGAGGCGAAGCAACTTGTTCCAGGCCACAGTGCTGAGCAGCATGGGGCCCAGAGCACAAGCTCGGCCTCATGATGGTCCCACCCAGTCCGGGCGACACCCCCTCTTCCAAAGCAGGAAGACCTGAGCACCCTCGGGAGACTGAGGAGACGCCCCGTGTGCAAAGCATCCAGACACAGGCTCCGTGACACGCGGCCTCGAGGACCCAGAGCTCTCGGAGCAGCAGGCCGGAGGCTCGTCCCCTGGGCCAGGCTTGGCAGGAACCCACCTGCTCCCCTGGGAAAGGCGCCTGGGACATGGGGTACAGCCGGCTTCCTAGAAGCGGGCCCACCAGGCCCAGGCGCTTTCTTGGCGGATGTGAGAGGTGAAGACGGCTTTGGAGGCAGAGGCTCCTGCACAGCCTCCAACCCCGCCCCCTCCCTGCAGAGAGTGGGGGTGAGGGTGCCCTGGGGTGGCCGGACGTCCCCTAAACACCCGGCCAGCAGTTATCACACTGCCCGCACACAGTGGCTGCCAGGGGGTGGCATCTGGAGTAACAGTACTTGTTATCATGATGATCTCCGCCGTTATTGTTATTGCTTTGACCTGTACGCCCACGGGAGTGTCCCTGAGCGCACCTCGGGGGACCTAAGTGGTAACACCTGCCTGGTCCAATATGAAAGGCACCCCCCTTCCTCTCCTGTCCCCCACTGAGCCCCAAAACCTGTCTACCCTTCAGGTGGCCACGTAGCCCAGTTCAGAAGGGCCCGGGCTGACCCCTGCTGTCCCAGCAGGATTATTAAGAGCATCCTTGTTCCCTTGTCACCTCGTCCTGGGGGGGGGGGGGAGACTCTAGGGTCCCTGCCACCCTGTGCCTGTCACAGCTCAGGCCACTCTGCTCCCCCAGGGCTTCTGAGAGTGAGGGCCTGGGGCCCAGCACGGGCAGCCCAGAGCTGGTCCTGCATCAATGTTCACTCCTCACAGAACCTTCCAGGAGGCCCAGGAGGCCCAGCCCAGCCCCCGGCCCACCCACCCTCCCGCGTGGGGAGCAGATGGCGGGCGCCATACCTTCTGGAATCCAGCGGGCTGCCCTGCAGAACTCTGCGTCTGTTATTTTAGGGAAGGAGAGGAAAAGGGAAAAAAAGTTAAGTGAGTGAAACTTAAATCCCAGCAGAGCCCATAATGGAATATTCATTTTGTCAGGGGAGCGTTTCTTTAAAACTCCCGGTCATCTGGACAGGCTGAGCCAGCAGGTGATTCGATTTAATGAGCTTTTTAACGCACTCCGGGCCCAGGTGGGACTGTCTGGGACGCCTGGGCGAGGCTGGCGGCAGGGCCACCGGCTGGGGCTGGGCTGACACCTAGTGGCCGATTCAGCCACTGTGGGGCCAGCAAAGGGGGCGCGTCAGAGGTGGGGTCCGGGGTCCGAGGGCAGCCGGGACCCTCAGAAACATCTCAGCCGCCCCCTGCTCTGCTCAGCTCAGCTCAGCTCCAAGCCTGTCTCCTCACCGCTGGTGCTCAGGGAATCCTAGCAGTCCTCCCCACAGGGCTGCTGCGAGCCGTCGCACGTCGTCACGGCTCTGGTGAAGCTATCAGTGCTCCTCCAGAGGAGACGCGGGGCTGCAGCGGGAAGATGCTCGCTCGCTCGGAGTCCCAGGGCGGGTGGTGCCGGCGCCGCCGGGCCCAGGCCTCCCCCGCTGGTGTGTGCCAGTGCGGCTCTGCGCTCACAAGCCCCGGGACTGCGGGCGAGTGTGAATTCTCAGGGTGTCAGTGCCCCTCGGGGGACTGCAGACACAATTCCCTGGGCAGAGGCTGCTGGGAGGACTGACAGGATGATGGCGTAAAGCAGTGGTTCTCAACCTGGGCTGCACATTAGAATCCCCTGGGCATCTTTTTAAAATCCTGATTTCTGGGCCTCATCCTCCGGAAATTCTGTTTCTTTGTGATGGGGTGGGGCCACAACATGAGGAACAAAGAAACAGAATTTCCGGAGGATTGCCGGGAGCCGGTCCATGCTTGCTGTTTCAAGGGACCTGGCATATATGGCATACTGTTCTTAATATGTTTGCTCACCTTCTTGGCACTATGTGTTTTAACCAAGGTCTCTGAGAAAGGTTGTTTCCCCAGGTAGGGATTTTCCCCTGAAGTTAGGGAGGGAATAAAACCTCTCAACTAAGTGCCAGGCGGGTAATTAATCACTTTAACTATGAACAATCATGCTTAAGCTACATAATGGAGATAAGAAACGCCCTAACCTTTGTAATAGAGATTGATAGGATTGAATCAACTGGTATAAATACAGTTGTAACTAGACAGCAAGAGTCAGAACTTAGAACACAGACAGAACTGAGAACACAGAACTTAGAACACAGAACTTAGAATACAGAGCTTAGAACACAGAACTAAGAAGACAGAACCTACACAGAACCTAGAGACAGAAGAACTTCGCTGGAGAGAACATGGCAAAAGATCCTGGACTGAACCTGACTACAGAAATTGGCAAGAGAACCTGACTAGAACCTGGTGACTGAACCTGGCTGGAGAACCTGGACAGAACCTGGCTGGAGAACCTAGCCAGGGAATATGGCTACAGAACCTGCCTGGAGAACCTAGCAAGAGAACATGGCCACAGAACCTGGCTGGAGATCCTAACCAGAACTTCGCTGGAGATGCTGACCAGAACTTGGCTAGAGATCCTGGCTAGGCTGCTGATCAACTGAACGCTGTCTCCGTGTCATTCCTTCTTTGCTGACTCCGTCCACACCTTTGGGGACCCCTGGACCTGCTGGGGTTGAACCCCAGCAGAGGATGAGGCCCAGAAATCAGGATTTTTGAAAGATTCCCAGGGGATTCTCATGTGCAGCCAAGGTTGAGAACCGCTGGCGTAAAGGTTGCAGCTCACGAGGCAGCACAGCGCTGCTCAGACCTTAACTGTGAGGTCACGGTCACGGCTGCTGTTACTGGAGCCGGCCTCACAGGGTGGCCTCACAGGGTGAATGAATGGCATCTTGCCATCCAGCGCCCGGGACCTGGGAGTCTCCTCCCTCCCTCCCACCGCGCGGTCCCCTCAGTCTGGTCCCTGGAGGCACAGGGCGGGTGGATGTGGCCCAGGTTTCCCCGGTGAGCGTGGCTCGGCCGCAGTCCCACCCCCAGGCTGGGACCTGCCCGCCTGCACCCACCAGCAGTTGCCCGGAGTCCTTGAGCTTGGACTTGTACAGCATCCAGCGGTAGCGCAGGTCCTCCAGCTCCTCCGAGGCGCCCCTCGCCGGCCCCAGACGGAGGAGGTCCTCGAAGAGATGCTGGCCTTCAGGGACCCGAGCCTCCAGCTCCTGCGGGGAAAGGACCACGTCAAGGGCACCTTCCAATGGCCCAGACGCTCGCCTGGCCGGCAAGGAGCAGCCAATCGCATTCCACTTGGGCTGACAGAGCCATTGAATGAGAATCCTACTGGGGAAAGCGGGCTTCTCCTAAAATGCTTCAGCCAGACTCTGCCATTGCTGTCTGCCGCGTAGCAGAGCGGGCGCCTGCAGGACAGGGTCAGCACTGCTGGCCGTCCGGTCACCTCCCGCCCTCACATTCGCGTCACCGCCATCAAAGCTGCCACTGCGGACCCCCTTCCTTCAGCCTAGGCCTGGCAGAGTGATGTCCAAACAGGGATTTTCCTCCCAAATCTACCGCTGTGTCCCGCAGGGGGGCCCCTTCGGTCCGCGGGGTCCCTGGGAAGCGGTGTGAATGTGGGGCTCCGGGCGGGAATCCCAGGAGCCGGGGTCCGCGTCTGCCTATCTCCTCAGAGCCTCGGGGATGTGAGCTCTCCACAGACAGGAGGGTCCACCGGGGGAACCCCAGGCCGTCTCTGATCTGGATGGAACTGGGGGGGCGGGGGGGGGGGCGGCAGGAAGAGAGAGGAGTGACTGAGCAGGAGGAAGGGGCGGGCGGGAAGGACTGCCTGCCATGGTCAACCAGGCCATCGGCCCAAACCGCTCACAACTAGGAAAGAGGGCCGCACATCCAAAACATCTGAAAGGCATTACAGGCGCAGGACGGTGCCGGGGAAAATGACAGAAATGGGAGGTTTGATGACAAAAATTAAAATAAAGGCGCTAAAGAGCCAGCAAGGAGCCCATGGGGCTACAACCAGGCCAAGGAAAAACCAGGGAAGGCGGCCCAGCGTGCAGGCTGCTTTGCCAACAGGCCGCTGGCCAGGCTGGAGGGACCGCGGTGAAAGCGCAGGCTGCGGGCAGCCCCTCGGGGCCGTGGAGGGAAAGGTCAGAGTCGGGGCCCCGCGGCGGTGGAGGCCCGGCGACCAGTCCCTCTTCCGCGGGGACGCCCGAGGCCCGTAACTCAGGTCCAGAAGGTACGTGCCCAGATTAGACAGGGGGCGTGAGAGGGACAGAAGCAAAAAATCCCCAGGAACCAAGCAAGGCGTAGCGGCTAACTCCACGCGGGAGCGAAAGAGAAAGATTTGTGGTGGGAGACTGCCAGCCGAGCCCGCCCGAACCGCCGGCCCTCAGAGCCAGGAGCGAAACGGAGCTGCTGCGTGGAGCCCCCGGCTGCGGGAGGCTCTGTGTGTAGCCAGGGCTCGGAGACCCCGCAGCGGCGACTGGGGCATGTTTCCTCAGCCGGGCAGGACGGGGCAGGCTGAACAGAGGATGAATGCTTCTCCTGAAATGCTTCAGCCAGACAAGCTCAACGACCATTACGCACGCACAGGCAAGGACAGCTCACGACGAGGTACGTGCTCCTTGTTTTGAAGAGCTCCCTAGGGCCCTGGCTGGTTTGGCTCAGGGGAGAGCCGATCGCCTGTGGACGGAAGAGTCCCGGGTTCGATTCCAGTCGGGGGCATGTACCTTGGTTGCAGGCTTGATCCCTGGCCCTGGTCGGAGAGCGCGTGTGGAGGCCACCAATCGACATGTATGTCTCACATCAGTGTTTCTCTCCGTCTCTCCCTCTCCTTACCTCTTTCTCGAAAAGTCAGTAGAAAAATGCCCTGGGGGAGGCTTCACAAAAATAAATAAGTAAGTAATCTCAGTGGGAAAAAAGGAAGGGCTCCGTCGTGGCAAACACTGCCGGCCCGGCTGGCGCGGCCCCGAGGGGGAGCCTCAACCTGTGAACCTGGAAATCACGGTTTGATTCCTGGTCAGGGCACGTGTCCAGGTTTCAGCTCCATACCCAGTAGGGGGCGTGCACGAGGCAGCCGATCGATGGTTCTCTCTCATCACTGATGTTTCTCTCTCCCTTCCTCTGGAATCAATGGGAATTTTTTTTTGAACCATCCATGGTGCCGCCCCTCAGAAAGGGGCCTTTCCTGGCACGCACCTGCAGCTTCGTCTCTCTGGCCCTGGCGGCCTCGGCCGTGGCGGTTCTCATGGCGATGACTCTCACCAGCTTGGCGTTCTCCACCTGCAGCCACCGCTCGAAGTCACCCAGGAGCTGGGGGAAGCCCTCGGGGCCGCCTCCTGCTTCCTGGCGCGGGTCTGCCTGCCGGAGTGACAGCGAGGCCAAAGCATCAGCGGGGAACCCAGCTTTCCGGCCTCGTGTCCTGGGATCCCACCGGGCGGAGGGCGGGCACGAGGATGCCCACGGGGATGCGAGAGGCCTGGGGGCAAGGAGTGTCTGCTCAGCGTGGCCGCAGTGTGGAGGGTCCGGGACATTCCTCGGCCCCCGGCCCCCCTGTGGCAGCCCCACCACCCGACCAGGACGCTGGTAGGCTGGGTTACCCGCCGGCCCTTTGCCCCCGCGGCTCTGCGGCCGGAGTGGGCTCTCTCCTGCCGTCACTCGGCTGAGCCCTCCCTTGTGCACCCAGTGGCTTCTCACACGCCTCGATGTGGCCCAAGGCCTCGGGGCGGCTCTGCCTGTCTGCGGCTCGTCCCACCTGCCCGTTCTCCAGCCCGAGCGCTCAGACCTGCCTGGCACCTGGCCCTGCACTTTCTTGGGGTTTTGCACACATGCCTCCTCTGCAAGGAACAACCCCGCCCCCCGCCCCCCCTCCCCCCACTCCCTGCCTCCATGGTCCCCTCGCATTTTCCTCTGGGAGGGCTGCCCTGGCCCAGCCCCGGGTCACGGCCTCTCTGCAGGCCCCACAGCCCATGGCCCCTCTGCCATCGCACCCCGCTTTCTGGAAACCCCGATTTCATGGCCTGTGGTTCCCACTGCCTCATCTCTCACGGGGTGCTCCGAGGGGCTTGCAGACAGCAGGCTCGGGGCCCCCAGACCTCCTGAGTCAGAGCCCGCATGGTAAGCAGCGATCAGGTGCAGGCACAGCGGGCATGGCCCTGCGCTGGGCTCCAGGCTCTGCTGGGGGGAAGGGTTTCTGGGTGGTTCCCAGCTGGGTCCCAGCCCCGGCACAGCTCCGAGCGGTAACACCCCATCAGTGCCTCGCGGGCGGAGAACAGGATGGATGGGGTGACGCTGGCTTTGAAGAGTGAGTTTCTCTTCACTGCGCTAGCTTCTCGCCAATGCGCTGCCTTTTGTGAAGGCATCTGGGGGACAGGACGGCTGATACAGGGCAGGGAGCTTAGTTCTTTCTACAAAATACAACTCACGGCACCAAAACCTGCCCACCCTCTGTGGTTTCAGTTTGCAGCCTGGGCTCGGTGGGAAGCGCTGACCCCTGGCCTCTCCTCCCTGCGGGGGACGGTGTTTCTGAGGGGCGAGGGCGTGTCTGTCCAGGGGAGCCCGGGGCCTTCCCCAGGGCCTGGGTCTGGGGTCTCTGAGTCCGTCTGTCCAGTGGCCTGAGGGACGCCTGTGACACGCAGGGCCGGCTGACCGAGACCGGATGGGGCCCACTCCCGAGCGAAGCCTGTGGCCCCGGTTGGGGGGCTTTGCCGGAGATCCTCCCCCGCCCCCATCACTGGCCTGGGATCTGGCCCCTCCTCCTGGAAGCCCTGCCAGACTCACCTGCCGGTGCCGCCTGGAGAGGGGCCCCGTGGGGGTGAGGACAAAGCCCCTCTTCGGGATGTTGTTGGTGAAAATCGGGGTCTTCCCGGAGTCCACGTCCAGCCTCTGCAGCTGCCGGTTTCTGATGAGGCTGAGGAAACAAACCAGCCGTCAACGCCGGACCCGGGAGGGGACTCACCTACTGAGACCCCTCACAGTGATGGGGGAGCAGGTGCCCAGTGATGGGGGTGCTGAGACCCCTCACGGTGACAGGGTGGGTGCAGGTGCCCAGTGATGGGGGTGCTGAGACCCCCTCACAGTGATGGGGGTGGGGTGCAGGTGCCCAGTGATGGGGGTGCTGAGACCCCTTCACGGTGATGGGGGTGGGGTGCAGGTGCCCAGTGATGGGGGTGCTGAGACCCCTTCACGGTGATGGGGGTGGGGTGCAGGTGCCCAGTGATGAGGGTGCTGAGACCCCCTCACGGTGACGGGGTGGGGTGCAGGTGCCCGGTGATGGGGGTGCGGCCCGAGCCCGGGGCGGGGGGGGGCGGGCTGGAGGCTCACTCCCAGCTGGGGCAGCTCCCTGCTCTTCTGGACCTCCAGAATGCCAGCTGGGCCAGCTGGGAGATGCCCAGGCCCCTGGTGCCACGCCTGCCACAGGCAGAACCCCGGCCCCTGTCCCACGGCACCACTGAGCTCCGCGCTGTGGGGAGGGGTGCTGTCCCAGACCAGGCCGAGGGCCAGGAGGCCCCTCACCTCAGCAGGCTTTGCTCCAGCAGCCTCAGGGCCCGCCACGCCCCCGCCAGCTCCGCCAGCTCCTCCTGGACCTCGGCAGCCCCTTCCGGGGAGGACTTTTCCATCACCAGCCGGCCGTGCGCTTCGACCAGGGGCAGCTGGGCCTCCTTCTCGGGGAATTCCGCCAGCAGCCCCTGTGTACACACACACACACACACACACACAGTAAGTCCTGGCGGTCTCCGCTCCCAGTGTGGGTGCTTTGGCCTCCCGACCTGCCTGGGGGGTGCACCATCTCCGCAGGGAAAGCCATCTCACCTGGACTTCGGCCTCGCGGGCCTGGGCATCCCAGGGGCCCGTGTCCCCCAGGTAGGACTCCAGCTTCTGCGTGACCACGGCCACCCACTGCTGCAGCTGCAGGAGCTCGTGGCTGAAGGCGCAGTGCTCCCGTGTGCTCCGCTGGCTGCCGTCCACCAGGTCCTGCGGCACAGCCGGGGCCAGGGCGCCTGAGTGCTGGCTGAGGCCGAGACCTGGGCCCCCAGGCCTGCCCGGGCCCCGGGGTGTGCTCCCCTTTAGGGCCCCCGACCCAGCAGGGACCAGGGCGCGGGTCCGCCCTCTACATGGTGCAAGGCATGGGCCCGGAAGACAGCTTCTGGCGAAAAGGGCTTGGAGCCTGTCTCGCTTTCCCGCTCAGAGTCTGGGGCAACCGGATCTCCTGTCCACCCCATGTGGGTGCATCGGCACAGCCACTTGTGAAAATGGTGGGTCCACAGCTCCTACCCGGAACATGGCAGCCCTGGGACGCGACCCTTTCACCCCTGGGTACACACCCAGCAAAGCGAACACTCTTCACCAAGAGGAATTGTGGGAAGCCGCCCATTGCCTTCACTGGCAGAGAGGTGTGAACAAGGAGCCGGGAGGCTGGTGACCCTTGAGCCCTGGCAAAGGTCAGGGCTATGAACCCACTGTTTAGTCGAAACAATGGTAGCTGAAGCAACTTCCCCACCAGACAGTCATATAAATCCTCACTGATAAGATAGTCTGCCTGTTACTGGAACTTGCCTGCCTAAGGGCTATAGGTAGACGCCAAACTGAATAAAAAGATGGCGAGGCCTGAGCCCATTACTGGCTGTGGGCATGAAAGCTGAAGTTTGCTGCCTGGCCGGCATGGCTCCGTGGTTGAGCATCGACCCAGGAACCAGGAGGTCACGTTTTGATTCCCTGTCAGGACACACACCCGTGTTGCGGGCTCGATCCCCAGTAGGGGCCGTGCAGGAGGCAGCCGATGGATGATTCTCGCTCATCATTGATGTTTCTCTCCCTCCCTCCCTCTCCCTTCCTCTCGCTGAAATCAATAAAAACACGTGTTTTTTTCATTATAAAGCTGAAGTTTGCTGCGTCTATGGGCTCTGTGGCACCTAAAGGGGTGGGGTCAGTGGTTCTTATTTCCCTACGCCCCCTGCCTCAACCTGGGGACCAGTAGCTGCTAACTTAGTAAATGGAGTGAAATGAATCCATCTAGACCTCAGCCCTCATGCAGACCGGGGGCCTAGATGGGTAGGGCTGTATTTCCCAAATCTCAGGGGGGTTTGGGTTGCCCTGCTGGTGACGGGGTGGGTGCCAGCAGAGACAGTGGGAATGTGGGGCGTGGAGGGTCCTCTCAGGCCCTGCCCACACCCACGTTTATTGCGGCCTGAGCTTAGAATCTGCCTCCAGTTACCACACAAACACGAAGAGACGTTGGGAGCTTTAACGACCATATGGACTGCGCGGGAATGCGCTGCTCCGTAAGCGGATGGAGGACCGCACATGGGGTTGTTCGCCTCCCAGAAAACCTCGCGGCTGGAGGCACCGGAGGCCGCCCCCTGGGGAGGGCGCACTGCCCGCCTCCTCCCGCCTTGGTGTGGCCACTGCGGCCACTTACATTTTGAAAGACACTATTTTTTCTAATAATTACGTTCCTTTTATTTACATTTCCTACTGTAGAAAGGGCATTATATTAAAGTGTTAAGTGGTGTGGCTGCTGACACTATCTGTGAGTCTCAGGACTGCGAGGAGGCTGTTAGGAACACTTGTTATTAATGAGCGCATGTCAGCCGTAGGGTGGGGAACCCTCAGACTTTTCCTGAGTGAGGCAGCCTGAGGGCCGGCTGTGCGCTCCTGGGGCCCAGGTGACAAATGCAGACCCGGGGCTCCATCTGCATGGGGGTCAGGGGGTGGCTGCAGCCCGCATGCATTGGAACGTGTCCTCAGGGGGATGTTGAAGGACCTCAATCCCCACTCCCACCGCTCACAAGGGAGTCAGCCCTCCGTAGCACCAGAATGACCCAGGCGGCCACTAGAGGGCACTGCAGGCACGGCGCCAGGCCACCAGGTGCACCTTTCAACCTCACCCTAGGGCAGCAAACGTGTGGGCCACTGCCCGCTGGGCTTCGGGGAGCACCTGCACGGTGCCCTGCTCTTTGGCCCCGGCCCAGGCGGAATTGTACGTTTACTTGTTGGCTGCCCACTCTGTCCATCTACCCCCTGGAACGTCACCCGGGAGAACAGGGGCCTTGCCCGCTGGCTCAGCTGCCCTTGCCTAGGGCCCTGATCACTGCCTGGCATACAGGAGGCGCTCAATGATGGTCTGATGAGTAGGTGAGGGAGGGAAGAAGGACAAGAGAAAGGAAAAGAAGCACTGGCAGGAGGGAGGAAGAAGAGGGGAGGCTCGGGGAGGGTCAGGTCCAGGCCGGTGTCTGCACGGCCCTTACCTCCAGGGACCGCTGCAGGGCCTGGCAGTCGGCGGAAAGCTGGTCCATTCTGTGCTGGTGGTTGGGGTTCCCCTGGATGAAAGGCCTGGTGGCCTCCACCTGCACGCCCAGGTCCAGCCCCTCTTCCTGCAGCCCCTGCAGCACAGGAAGCAATGAGGGGGCTGACCTTCCTGCCTCTCGCAGGGGTGCTGATCAGGGTGGGGGGACTCTGAGTGGGACGCGGTGGAGGGTCTCAGAGGGTGGGGCTCCCCAACTCCTGCGGCTGCACCTCATGGCCATCTGGTGGCCCACTCTCAGGACCGGTGAGAGTTTTAATGCGATGGAAATATTCTGAGGCACCATGAGAATACAAACTCCCATCTGGACTCTCACTGGCGGCCAGCCCGCGTTATGAAGAATCCACCCCAGCTCTGGCTGGAAAGCCCCACACGCACCACTTGTAACACCTTCCCAAGAGCACTCGCAACTTGCACATGAGCTGTGCTTGGGTTCAAAGGTACTCGTTAGGAGCCAGCAGCTCCTCACCCAGCGACAGTGGTCACCAGCGCCGAGGGACGACCCCGTGTGGTTCAGAACGTTCCCTCTCAGAGCCAGTAGGTTTATTTAACTGGGGGCCTCTGCACTCACAGGAACACTTAGCAAAGCAACTTTAAAAACACGGCCAGTGTGGGACTTTGGAACCGCGGAGTAAGCAGAAAGGCAGCTTATCGTCTTGGAAGCTGGAGAGTCAGCAGTCTGGAGGCGCTGAGGGCCCTGCGAGGCCAGGAACCCCCAGGAAATCAGCCGAGGTGAAAGGTCAGGGTGCAGCGAGGGTCTAGTGTGCGGCTGGGGCCGGCGCTGCTTGGCCGGTTTCTAAGGAGGGGCTGCCTCCTGGTGCTCGGAGCACCTGAAGAGGCGACCCAAGCCCCGCAGACCCCTCACCTGCAGCCTCGACAGCTGGGCCTGTTTCCCAGGAAGGTCCCGCTGAAGCCCATTCTCGGCTCGGGCCCTGGTCTGGAGGTCCGAGAGCGTCCTCTGCAAGGGCTCGATGGCAGCCCCGAAGTCTTTGTGCTGAGCAAGCAGGCTCTGGGGACACAGAACGGGCAGCACAAAGTGGGGCACTTTCCTCCCAGCCCAGCTGCTTTCTCCGGGGCCGCTCACACTCACTCAGGCGGCGCCGCCTCCAAGAAGCCTTCCCAGAGCTCGAGGGGGCTGAGCGCCCTCCCCAGGGTCACCATAGCGCCCTCACACACAGCTCTGCCCACCGCACAGAGGTCGGCAGACTACATCTCTACCCACACCCTAGTCCCCCCAGAGGTCTGTTTGTTAATAAAGTTTTACTGGGACACAGCCATGCCCACTCCTTTGCAGCTGCTCTCTTGCCGCAGTGGCAGAGTTGAGAGCTGCAGCAGAGAGCGTCTGCCTTGCAAACCCTAGAATGTTCGTTACTGGGGTCAGTGAGATCACAGATGTGCAGTTCTCAGCATGTGCCCGGCCCTGTCAGTGCCTCACAGACCACAGTTATCACCACCATCTCACCATCACCATCATCACCATCATCATCACCACCATCACCTTTATCACCAACATCATCACCATCATCACCATCACCATCATCACCACCACCACCACCACCACCATCACCACCATGACCATCATCACCATCATCACCATCATCACCATCATCATCATCATCATCATCATCACCATCACCATCACCATCATCACTATCATCACCATCATCACCATCATCACCATCATCAGCATCATCATCATCATCACCATCATCACCATCATCACCATCACCATCATCATCATCATCATCACCATCACCATCATCACCATCATCACCATCATCACCATCATCAGCATCATCACCATCATCATCATCATCACCATCATCACCATCATCAGCATCATCACCATCACCATTACCATCATCACCATCATCATCACCATCACCATCATCACCATCACCATTACCATCATCACCATCATCATCACCATCACCATCATCACCATCACCATTACCATCATCACCATCACCATTACCATCATCACCATCATCATCACCATCACCATCATCACCATCAGAGGCGCAGCAAACATGTGCAGAGAGAATAACCTGTCTGCAGCGTGCCACATTGCATCTGTGATTCAGTGCAGTCATTTGGAAACGTGTCCCTAATAAGAACAGCTTCCAGTTCACCAGGTGTCAAAAGCTCACATTTTTTCCTGCATTTTCTCATTGGACACCCCAGTCCCTGCGGAAGGCAGTTCAGTGACTGCAGTGCAGCGAGGGGACCGGAGGGCAGGATCAGGGGCAGAGAGGCGGCCATAGACTAATCAGAACAACCACACAATCATCCCCCCCAGTCGATAGACGAGGAGCCCTAGGTTGGGGCAAAGGGATGTGCGCGGGGCGCACAGTGCACGTGCTGGGGCTCAGGTCCGAACGCGGCTGCCGCCGGGAAGGGTGGCCGCCCTCGGCGCTCACCTGCAGCTTGCTTTTCCTCTGCAGGAGGCTGTTGTGGAGCAGGTCCCTGTCCCGCACGGAGCTCGTCACCTGCTCCAGGAGGGCCGTGGCTCTGTCCTGGCCGAAGACACTGCCCAGCAGGTCTGTCTTCAGCGGCAGCATGGTCAGCTGCTGCTTCAGGCGGGAGCTCTCGGCCAGGGCCGCCTGCAGAGACAGGCTGTGTCAGCCACGGGCAGGGCGGGCAGCGGAGCCGGGCACCCGCGCCGGGAGCGCACCTGTTTGCTGCGACCGCCCGGGCTCTGAGGCAGCAGCAAACCGAAGAAACAGGCCGGCAGGAATGAGCGAGGGAGGCCTGAATTTCAGGGTCAACTGGGTTCCTCTCACCCCACACACCCATCTTATTATCAAAGCTGAGCACCCTCATCAGCAGATGCTCAGCAAGTATCTATAATAATAAAAGCGTAATATGCAGATCGACCCAATGCCGAACAGTGGAATGTCCATCTGGACGACTTCACTATGACACCCACCTGCGCCAGGCCAGCCAAGGCAGGTGCGATGCGACTGGTCACGGGCCTGGCCATCGCCCCATGATTGCCCTGCAGAGGAGGCCCAAGCCACCAGCCAGCAGGGCGATTGATCAATTGGGGGGCTCCACGATTGCCCCAAAGAGGGAGGCCCAGCACGGAGCCCCAGCCAGGTGGGCAGAGCCTACCTCTTTAGGGCAATCCATCGCGGGGCTCCTGGACTGTGAGAGGGCACAGGCTGGGCTGAGGGAACCCCGCCCCCAGTGCACAAATTTCGTGCACTAGACCTCTAGTTTGTAACATAGAGTAAGCTGTCACCCGACCTGCATGTTTTGGAAATCTGTCTCTCCATTCCCACTGCCACTGTCCTCACTGCAGCCAAACCCAACCAAACCAGTCTGATCCTCTACCCAGTGATTCCTTCACCAACACCTGGGCCACCCCCAGGTGGTCTGGAGGACATTCTGAGGGGGCTAAGGGCCTATGGGAGCACAACCAGGGGGAATTCAGGACGGCTCCCCAGAGGAGGTGGCACCTGAATGGAGTCCTGATACATAGGAGCTCACCAGGCAGAGAGGACCTAATGGGACTCAGAGGCCTCCTTGTAATGGGCAGCTGCTCCCACACAGCCTGACCTCTGCCCAGCCTCCTCCTCCAGGAAGCCTGCCCTGACCACATTCCCAGCTACACTCACTCTTCCTGCCCTAAGCCCTTGCCAAGCCTCAGGCTCCTGCTGATTAGCCAGTTGTTTGGGGTAAGGCCCAGAGTCCTAGAGGCCAGGGGCCTTGTTGTCAGCAGGCCAGCGTCCTTCCATTTTTACCTGAGGATGTTACTGAGACACTGAGCGAGGCACAGGGCTGGGACAGGGAGAACAAAGCCCAACCCAGGCAGGTAATTGCAAGCCAGGCTGACAGTGAGTGTTTTCCTAAAGTTTCAACTGAGTGGGTGTTCAGGGCAGGAGTGGATTTCCTGGGTGGGGAAATCCTGGAAGGCTCCTCAGAGGAGGCAGCTCTCACAACCTCCCTGGAAGGGCCACGGGAGTCTCTGGAGGGAGAGCAGCATAAACATGGCTGACACATAAACACGCGTGCGTATCCTGCGGATGAGGGCATGCGCTTTGTGATCGACCACCCAGAGGTCAGGCCTCAGGAGGTAGGGGTCACCTGCACCCCCTTTTCACCAAACCCAGACATAACAGCACAGGGTTCAGCATGCAGGCTGGGGAGCTATGACCATGAATTGGACTATATCCTAGCTGGGAGGCCTTGGGCAGTTCTGAGCCTCAGTCTCCTCATCTGTAAAGTAGGGGTGCTCACACCCCAGCTCGTGGGGTTGTCATGAGGCCTAAACGAGACGATGCCTATGGAGCCCTTAGCGTGCAGGACCCACTGCGGACACACAAGGAAAGTCAGCCCTTCTCAGCTGCAGCATTTAACCAGCGGCCCTGGGTTGAATTGTGTCCGCCCCCAAAGGTTTGGAGAAGTCCAACCCTCCCCCACCTCAGACTGTGGCCTTCCTGGGAGGGGGGTCTGGGTGGAGGTAGCGGGTAGAAGGGGGTCACCCAGGCACCAGATCTGCCTCTGAACAGGACCTTTGTCTCCCGTGTTGGTATGTCCTGGGCACACGGGACTCCTGTGCCAGACCCGGGCCAGTGAGCTCCGCCCAGATGTCAGAGGGCCCCGGAACACGCCCGCCCTGCGAGGGTGACAGGTGCCGCACTTGGCTGGTGGCCGCCGGCTTCATGACCAGCCCTCCCTCTTACCTCGATCTGCGGCAGGAAGGTGTGGATGGAGGGCAGGTCAGGCAGGCTGGCCGTGACGTCCAGGAGCCGCTGGGCCAGCTCCCGCCACAGCTGCAGATCCTGCAGAGGCCGCTGGAAACGCCGCCACAGCTCCACGCCCGCGGCATTGCGCAGCCGGGCGCTCTGCCCTTTCATGCTGCGAGGGCCGAGGAGGGAAGCCAGGCGGGAGAGACGGTCAGTCCAGGAGTGCGCTCCGCCCCGACCCCAGGGAGCCCGGCCTGCCTTGCTCCCTGGGCTGCTGCCCGGGCGGTCCCTCTCCTATGGCACCGGCTGCTGGGGCGTCTGCACCGCAGAGGCCTCGCCCGCTGGATAACAGTGCCCTCGAAACAAGGCAGCCCTGGCACAGGCTTGCAGCCCTCCCCTCGGCCACTGCCCGGTGGCCCCAGCGCCCGTGTAACTGCACAGGGAGACGGGATGGAAGCGGGGAACGAGCCACTTCGCACGGAGGAAGCCAGCGCCGGCCTCTTTTGGGGAGTGAAATGTAAAATACTACATTTTAGTATAGTGACCGGCCTGGCTCAGTGGCTGAGTGTCCACCTATGAACCGGGAGGTCACGCCTTGATTCCTGGTCAGGGCACAGGCCCGGGTTGCGGGCTCCATCCCCAGTAGGGGGTGTGCAGGAGGCAGCCGATCAATGATTCTCTGTCATTATTGATGTTTCTCTCTCTCCCTCTCCCTTCCTCTCTGAAATCAATAAAATGTATTTATTTAACAAAAAGGGACCATGACCAAACAGAGCAGGCTTACCCCCTGGACGGCCGGGCGCTGAGAGGTGCGAGAAGTACGCATGTTACCAGGTTGCAAGAGAAAGCAGCCCGCCTCCTGGAAGCGGCCTCAGATGGGGAGGGAGGGCCCCGAGTCCCGCCCCCGGCCCCCAGCCTCGCCCTCGGCCCCCAGTCCCGCCCCGGCCCCCACAGCCCCCACACCTCTGGAACTCCTGGATGGCCTCGACGACGCTGTCGGGGAGCTGCTGCAGGTCGTGGGGGAAGGCGATGAGCTCCCTCAGCTGGGCCTGCAGCCGGTCCACCCGGGGCTCCTCTGTGGCCAGCGCCGCCCGTGTCGCCTGCGGCACAAACGCCCCCCAAGGGGGTGGTGAGTTCCGGGACAGGACAGGGTGTGTGCTCAGGGCGGTGAGCATGGCTGGTGGGAGGGGGCCCGGGGGAAACTGCTCCCGCACCTCCCCACCGCGCCTCTCGCCAAGCTGGTCTTTCTCATGATATCACCGCCCCCAGCGTTGTCACAAACGCCAGCACCTAACAGCACAGGTGCCATCCCTCGGAACACTGACGCCGTGCTGCGTGCTCTGGGCGCCTCATTCACTTGAGCCTCTCACGGATTCGGGAGGGCAAGTCTCCGTGTCCCCATTTCATATGCAAGGAACCTCGTCTAAGAGTTTTATTTTTTTGTTAATCCTCACCCGAGGATATTTTTCCATTGATTTTTTTTTTAAGGGAGAGTGGAAGAGAGGAAAAGACAGAGAGAAGCATCGATGTGAGAGAAACACATTGATTGGTTGCCTCCTGCATGAGCCCTGACCAGGGCCCGGGCCAGGGAGGAGCCTGCAACTGAGGTACGTGCCCTTGACCGGAATCGAACCAAGGACCCTTCATTCCCCAGGCTGGTGCTCTATCCACTGAGACACACCGGCCAGGGCTCTAAGCACTTCTTGTTTTCCGGAGTGCGTAAGGAACCATGGGGGAGGGCTGTTACCAGCACCCCAGTTCCGCCTTTGAGATGAAAGTCATTCTCCCGAAGGCATCTCGTTGGCAAGGAGAGGAACCAGGGCTTGAACCCAGCAGTGTGATCCCAAAGCCCTCGCCCCTAACCACTGACCACCCCTCCACCTGGGGCCAGGCGGCCAGTGCTAACGGGAGACAACTCCCTGTGCACGCAGTTGGCCATCGCAGTGGCACGGGGCTTAGATGAGGGGGAGTGGGCCCTGGAGGACGTGTGCCTCGTGCCTACCCCCAGGAGCAGAGTTCCGCCTACGGGCGAGCATTAGGGGGAGAGAACACAGGACAGTGGCGAGTGGACGGGGCCTGGGCGGGCGGGTTGCTTTCAGACAGTTCCCCGAACGGAACTGACGCTGAGCGAACCCGTTGAGTCAATATTACCAACAGGAATGGGGAGGTGTTTACCTTTATTTTAAAAATCTCTCTGTCCACAAGTCAGGCCTCCTGTGCATGGGGGTGTGTGTGTGTGGGGGGGGGCTCTGATTGGACATCACGTCTAAGTTGGAACCCACGCCCACCCTCCCCAGGGTGGGCATGTCTGCTTGTCTCCCAGACCCCCTGTGGGTTGGTCACCATCTCTAACTGGGAGCTTTTCCTCTGACCTAGCACTCTGCTCCGTGCTCAGGAGGCCCACCCACATCCACCTCCAGGCAGGGACGTGCGGGCCCGGAGACAATGCGCCTCTGGTCTCAGTTACCCGCGGACTCATCACAGGATCCTAGGATGGTGGGGACAAAAAAATCCCTCCAGGCCTCAGTCTACTCTCCTGGCAAATGGGTGCAAACACCCAACGTGGGGTAACACCCCAAGATCCAGGAGAAGCGGAGTGTGTTTAGGGCTCACCGTGATCCTCCCACCGCGAGGGTAAGCTCCAAGGGGCGACACCCAAGCCGCCTGGACCGCGTGGCTTACCGAGTAGAGTCTCCAGCGGGCCACCAGCTCGTCCTCGGTGCCCGCCTTCGCCGCGGGCTGCAGGCCCTCCTCCGCCAGCCGCCGCAGGTCCTTCCGGAACTCTCCCAGCTCGGCCTCCAGCTGCGCCCTCTGCTGCTCAAAGGCGCCCGTGGACGCCAGCAGCCCGCGCAGCCGCCCCTCCTCCTCCTCACGGAGGCCGCGGAGCTTCTCCAGGACTCTCCGCATCTCCTCCAGTTCCCGGGTGATCTTCTCGGCACCCAGAGGAGAGGTGTTCCGGATGACCCCCTCCGCCTGCGCCTCCAGCCGCCTCAGAGACTCCTCGCCCCTGGGGACGTCCTTGGCGATGTCCTGGGAGGCGGGGGGCGCGGGAGAGAGAAAGCCACTGAGGCCCAGAGCCCGGTGAGAGCCGGCGGCACCGGTCCACGGGGGACTGTCGGCCGCAGTGGCCCTGGCGCACACCGTGAGGCTGCCACTCCCCACCCACCTCCTTCCCAGTCACCTCAAAGCCCAGGAGCGCTTCGTCTCGGGGGGGCCCCGTCTTTAACACCCCGGACATTGGCTAGTCTGCTGTCTAACAGGCAGAGCCGGCTCAGCAGAGCCTTCGGCCGCAGCCGCGTGGGGCCAGGCAGAACCCCACGACCCCATGTGGTTGCAATCAAGTTTCTTTTTAAAATAAATGGTCATTGGCTTTTAATCTTTAAAAACTTGTTCTACAAACACCTTTAAATCTATCTTATTTGAAATTGCCTTTAAAATGAAGTCTACAGGCCTTAGGTGTCACTGTCCAGAGTTTTGAGAAATATACATGCTCATGTAGTCCACCTTGTTATCAAGACATACAGCATCTCTAACATCCTGGGAGATTCTAGAACTTATTTGAAATCATAGGAGACGTTATCTATTGGAACTGGCTTCTTTCACTCAGCATAATGCTTTTTCAGATTCTTCCATGCTGCATTTCAGTACTTCATGCCTTCTAATTGTAATATTCCTCCATATAAATATAAAGAGTAATATGCAAATTGACAGAATAACCAGAACGACCGCTCAACCAGTCGCTATGAGGCTCACTGACCACCTCTTGGTCCCTCCCCCGGCCAGTAGGCTCCAATCGCCCAATGGCAAACAGGGAACTGGGGCCGGGGGCAGGGGGAGAGTAGGCGGTGGGGGGCAGGGCCAGCTGCCGGGGAAGATGGCCCCGATCACAGGCCAGGCCTAGGGACTATACCCACACATGAATTTTGTGCGCTGGGCCTCTAGTATATATATATGATATTACATTTATTCAATGCCCTACTGACACGGATCCGAGTTGTGTCCATCTGGGCTACCCTGACAGGCCCCGTGCGAGACCCCTGGTCTAGGGAGACCACCCTGCCGTGGCCCTGGGCTTCCAAATGCTCTGCTGGCTCAGGAGTTTCCATGAGGCGGCCGAGGCCCCAAACATTCGCCACCAGATTCCACGCTTCTCCTCGCGTGGGACCTGTGGGCGTGGAGGTCTGCACCTCCCTTGGCCCCGGCTCCCCGTGACATAAACGTGAACCTGTGCGGGCTCCCTGGCGGCCCTCGGTGGACACAGCCCAGTTACCTGCAGCGCCGAGAGCCGGCGGCCAGCGGGCAGCGAGCAGCTCCGCCCCACGCAGCCGTTCACCTTCGCCACCACCGCCTGCAGCCACAGCTGCAGCTCGTCCATGTCCGCCTGGAAGCGCTCATGCTCCTGGGTCACCTGCTCCAGCAGGTCCACTCGGTCCTGGGGAGGGGAGAGGACTGCCATGAGGGAAGCCTGGCCGCCTGGCCTTGGGGCCTGTGTGTGTGTGCGTGTATGTGTGTGCGCGTGCATGTAGAGGGTCTGGGATTCTGGGATATGTCAGCCCTTTTGCTGGAAATAAAGAAGTCCCAGACACCCTTCTCTATCTTTTTTAAAATATATTTTTATTGATCTCAGAGAGGAAGGGAGAGGGAGAGAGAGAGAGAGAGAAACATAAATGATGAGAGAGTATCATTGATCGGCTCCCTTCTGCACACCCCCCACTGGGGATCGAGCTCACAACCCGGACATGTGCCCTGACTGGGGATCTAACCGTGACCTCCTGGTTCATAGGTCAACACTCAACCACTGAGCCACACCGGCCGGGCTCTTTTTCTCATCTTCTTAGACCCAAGCATTCGGGGCTGGGCCTGTCCCGGGAACAGCACTCAGTCGGGGGCCTGGTAACAGCAACTGCTGCCCCAGACACTCACCCGAGCGTCCCCGCGGCGCCAGAGCTGCTCCAGGAACAGCACGGACAGTATCAGCTCCCCGAACCCTCCCAGCCACCCATCCCATGGCAGTACTGCTAACCCAGTCCGACCGACAGGGAAACTGAGGCCCAGAGAGGTGAAAGGCTGTCCCAGGTCATCGCCTGCCGGGAAAGCACCGAGGGGCAAGCCCAGGCGGTAAGGCTGGTCCTGGGGTTTCCGCCCGTGACAATGGCGTGTGCCCCATTTCCTCCCAAGGACGGGGAGGGCAGTTCTACCTTCTGATAGTCCCACTGAAGTTCAGCCCACACGGGGGACAAGACGGTCGTCTGAGGGGGACTGACCTTTGGGAAAATAACCATGTTCCTGACAGAAGACCTACTGTGCGCCCAGGAACTCGGTTTTTCCAAAACACACCTCTGATCACGGCACCATCTCTTTAAACCCCTCCCTGGCTCCCTCCTGCCCCCAGGCTCAGGTCCAAGTGCCACAGCCTGGAGGTCAAGGGCAGATGCGGTCCCCATCCTGGGCTGGAGAGCCCACTGCTGCGACTGGAACCCTGGCCCGCCTCGAGCCTCCCCATCGGTGTGGTGTGTTAACAGTACCCGCCTCACTGGGTGCCGTGGACTGAACGTCAGAGCCGCAGCTCCCGCAAGCAGCACCGGCAGCCGCGAGCGCGAAGTGACGGAGCACCGCTGGCCGGCACCGCTGGCTGCTCTGCGGGGCTACCCTGCAGCCCCCCTTCTCTGAAGAATCGCCCGCTGCCCGGGCTCAGTGAACAGCCTTCCCTGCTGTGGCTCCTGCTGGGGGACCGAGGCCCCCACAGACAGGCTGCCCTCGTGGGTTAGCCCCGGGGGCAGCTCAGGGCAGCCATGTGAACGCTTCCCCAGCGGCAGGAAGAGTGCAGGGGGCATGCCTGCAGCGGGGTTTTCCACGGGGGAGCGAGGGGGTTTCCATTTCAAAAGCAGGTAAAAGCGCCTGAGGGCCGGCCGGCCTGGGCAAGCATAACCTTCACCACAGCCACCAAACCCGCCGTCACGCCCACGTCCAGCTGCGAGGCCACCCGGCTCGCACAGGGCCTTGGAGCCAGGACTCACAGGGCCCGTGTCGGGCTCCCCGTCACAGCTCTAGACCAGGCGTTGGCCAACGGCAGACGGTTTGCTTCACCGCCCCGTGGTTTCTGTCGCAGCTACTCCACCTCCCAGGCGCTGCTCCTGCCCTAGCAGCTCAGAGCAGCCCCAGGCACCACACCAAGGTGGGGTATCTTCTGGTAAAACCAAAATTTTTACTTCATATTTATACATGTCATGGAATATTCTGGTTTTTATTTTCCCTGCAATCATTCAAAAATGTAAAAACTGCCCTAACCGGTTTGGCTAAGTGGATAGAGCGTCGGCCTGCGGACTGAAAGGTCCCAGGTTCCATTCCGGTCAAGGGCATGTACCTGGGTTGTGGGCACATCCCCAGTAGGGGGTGTGCAGGAGGCAGCTGATCGATATTTCTCTCTAATCGATGTTTCTAACTCTATCCCTCTCCCTTCCTCTCTGTAAAAAATCAATAAAATATATTTTAAAAAATGTAAAAACCACTTTTCGCTCACAGGCCAGGCGAAATCAAGAGGTGGGCTGGATCCGGCCCGAGGGCCGGGGTTTGCCGAGCTGAGCTCTCGGCCAGGGGGCCAGCCCTGCCCAGCAGCAGGTACGAATCAAAGTCAGACGTTCTCAGCTGGGAAGTGTGGACAGACAGACTCAGATGCTTTCCTGCTGCTGCACACGGCTTGAGAGGCTGCTTGTAAATGCAGAAACACCGATCCATTCCTTCAAACCTTCGCTACCACCATTGCAAGGAGAAAATGCCCCCATTTTAGAGACGGGGAAACCAAGGCACAGGGCCACGCCTTCAGCGGAGAGCTGAGAACCCTCTAACGGAAGCCAGGCTCGCAGCTTCAACAGCTCACGCGCAGACGGGAACACGCTGCTCAAACGCCAAAGGGGACTAGCGACAGCCGCTCCTTCGCGCTGCCCTGCGGCTGCCCCTTCACGGGCCATCTGCCTCCATCCAGGCTTCCTCCTCCCGCAGGAAAGGCTCGTTTATGAGACAAAGCGGCTCGGGAAGAATGCGCAGGGGTCAGTGCGGGTCGGCTCTGACGGTTACAGATGCTGTAATGAGGCAACTTCTCCAATGAGCGTGCGGCTGGCTGGCGTGCGAGTGTGTGTGTGTGTGTGTGTGTGTGTGTGAGATGAGGTGCTGGCACCTGGGACAGAGTAAATAAAGCCTCGGGGAGAGGCCCCGGACAGGACCGCGGCCAAGCAGGGCAGCCATCCAGGCGAGCTCCGTGCCAGGCGGAGCGAGCAGAGAGCACGGTCCAGCCGCCGCCGGGCCCCACGGGGGAGGATGACAGGGTGACAAATGGGAGAGTGCGCAGCCTTCGCTCGTTAGACCAAACAGTGAAGCCACCTGCGGCTGGCAGAGCTGTCAGGGTGTCAAAACCCAACCAGCCAACCAGGGCGGCGCGGACGCAGCTGGGCACGGGCTGCGCGGACGATGTGATTCCTGCCCAGATGCCGGACGAACGCCCCTGTGAGACAGGAAGCAGGGGAAGAGGATGCCGCCATGGCCCTGGCCCTTCAGGAAATGGAACCGCCCGACTAAAACCCCTCAGCGAAATAAACACGCAGGACCCCACCGGCTACCAGCCTGCTCTCTCCTCGCTGAGGGCAGTGCTCCTGCTCACCCCCCGCACCCCGCGACCAGGCGTCCTCATCAAGAATCTCCCTCCAGCCCAGCCAGTGTGGCTCACTGGTTGAGTGTCGGTCTATGAACCATCGGTCAGTAGGTCAACCACACACATTAAGCACCACCTGTGTATGCAGCACGGAGTGACACTGGGTGTACGGATGGTAGACAACGGGTCGATGGGTGGGTGGGTGGTGGAGGGATAGTTGGATGGGTAGACAGAAGATTGGCAGGGGGGTAGTTAGGTAGTGAGTGGGTAGATGAGCAGATGGGTGACAGGTAGTGAGTGAGTAGGTAGGTGGGTGAAGGGGTCAAGAGTGGTGGGCAGTCATAGTGGAGAGATGGATGAGTGAGCGGGTGGGTGAAGAGGTGGGCGGGTTGATGAGTAGGTAGCTGGCTGGGAGGGGGAGTAAGTGGTTGTCAAGACGAATAGGAGATTAGTTAGGTTGGTGGTGAGCAATGAGAAAAGAGATGTATGGGAGGGTGGGTACTTGCATAGATGGCTGGGCAGGTACGTGGAGGAATGAGGTAGTGAATGGGGGGACAGTGAAAGGGAGATTTGGCAGTGCAGTGGGGACATAAGTGGGCGAGTGGACAGGGAGGTGGAGAGATGGATGAATGCCGGTGGGTGGGTGCTGGTGGGTGGGGAGTCGATGGGTGGCTGGATGGTTACTTAGCAAATGGTGGGGTAGACGAGATGGGAAAATGGCGGGAGGGTAGACAGCCCACTGCTCCCCCACCTGGGCTCTGGCCTTCACGGCCTCGTACTCTGCCTTCATCCTCTTCTGGGCGTCCTCGTCCACGCTGGGGTCCCCGATCCTGTGGAACAGGGAGGCCGCCTCCTCCAGCAGCCGGTCCAGGAGCATGGCCTGGTGGCCCACGTCGTGCAGCAGCACCTGGGCCTGGCCCAGCTGCCACTGCTTCTCCTTCAGGCCCAGCTGCAGCTCCACGGGCGGCGCCAGCGCCACCGTCATCCTCTGGAACCAGCGGTAGAACTCGTCGCGGGCCAGGAGGTACTCGCTCCAGTGCAGCCACACCCACTCGATGCGGCTGTGGGCGCAGAGACACGGGTCGTGACCAGCCGCTCAGCTGGCTCCGGGGATGAGGGGCTGTGGGAGGGGACAGGGGGACGCCCTCTCGGGGCCTCGGCGCCGCCTGGGCAGCTCACACTCGGACACTCGGATTCCAGGCCTCTGTTCAGTCCTGCCGGCCCGGACCCTGTGTCTACGGGGTAAGCTCCCAGGGGCTAAGGGTCAGGGTGGCTCAGTCCCAGATCCGCTCTGAGACCCGCAGCCTTGCTAATGCGGCTTATGGGGCCTTAGCTACCAGCACCCCAAATTCCAGCCCTAAACCCCACTAACAGACACCAAAATGCCGCCGGGAGTGTGTCTGATCATTTGCAGGGTGCAGCAGTATCTGTGGGCTTGTCACCCCACAGTGGGGACAGAAGTTGAGGGCCTGCGTGTGGGTTCCAGGGACGCCATAAACTTGCTGCACAACCCTGCCTCCTCACTCGCCTCAGTTTCCCCAACTATAACATGGATGTGGCACTGTCTGTGCGGTCATATCGAGCCACTTGGGAATTCCAAGTGACAAGGGATGAAAAGCAAAAGTGAAAGTTCCCCCAGCTCACTTAGCATCCTGGTTTTAAGATGGTGCTTGGCCGGCATGGCTCAGGGGCTAAACGTTGACCTGTGAACCAGGAAGTCACAGTTCGATTCCCAGTCAGGGCACATGCCCGGGTTGTGGGCTCGATCCCCAGTGTGAGGCCTGCAGGAGGCAGCTGATCAATGATTCTCTCTCATCTCTCTCTCTGTCCCTCTCCCTTCCTCTCTGAAATCAATAAAAAATATATTAAACAAAAATGATGGTGCACCCGTTTGCTGAAGGCCTACTGTGTGCTTTGCTATCTCCCCCTTCCATCCTCCTGACAGCCTTCAAGGAACATCTGATTATACCCACTGTCTAGATGAGAAGCCTGAGGCTCAGAGAAGTCAAGTAACTTTCCCAAGGCCATACAGCAAGCAGCCGCCAGAGTGGGAGGCCCCCCTCTGTCCAACCCCCATCCGCCCGGCCTGGCTCCCCACAGGCCGAGAAGCTGGGCTAAAAGGCTAGCAGGAGACAGCCTCCCTCCCTCCTCCGGGGCCATTCTCCCATTCGGGGCCATTCCCTTCTGCTGGCGATGGGCACATGACAAGTCAAACCAGAATTAATTGTTGGCAAAACAAGCTGGGCTCCCACCGTCTATTCTCATCGTTAAGCTTGAATATAATTAGAACGAGGCAGGCAGGGCTGGCTAACATCCCAAGAGAACGCCCCGTTCCCAGCGAGCCCGGCACTGAAGGAATGTCCCTTGGGCGGGGGTGCCAGGCCAGGGTGGCAGTGGGCAAGCAGGGTTGGGGCAACGGCAGACAAAGCCCGCCAGGTCCCCGGCGGCCCTACCTGTGACAGTGAATCATGTAGGTGACCGTCTCCTCCCACTGGGCCTTGATGTCCCTTAGCCGCGCCAGGACCGCGGGCTTCTGGTCCTCGGGGCAGCAGGCCAGGAGCGCCTCGGCCGCCTGCAGCACCAGGTCCACCTTCACGCGCCCCTCCGGCTCCAGCTGGCATATTTTCTGTCGTGGGCACAAAAGCCAGTTTTCAGGGGTTAAACAGAGTGCGAGCGGGCAGAGCCACAGCCGGCGTGTGATGGAGGAGCCTGGACGCTGAGCCCGGAGGTGCTGGGGTTCGAACAGTGGCCCCCGCACCTTCTCCGGGGCCCGGGGCAGCCTGCGGCAGCTCTGAGGGTGGGCGCAGGAGCGAGGGTTATGTAGGAAGCGGTCAGCTTGTAACGGAAATGGTTACTGAATTTCCCAGGGCAAACAGAGCAGCGGGAGGAGGGGAGAGGGTACAAGAATGAAGAACTCTGTACATGACCAGCAGCACATTTTCCAGGAAGATCTGCCCGCCATGACTAGACAGAGGGAGGTGGAGACAACTAAAAAAAAAAGGCCTCAGCCCGTATTTTTAAATAACCCAATAGGGACAATAAGACCGAGGCGACATGGGGGGAGGGGGACTGTTAACCCCATAGTGCTCCACCGATGAGGAACTGGGGAGGGAATCACACCGCAAAGATAAACAGCCTGTGATGGCGGCTCTGAGTGCGCCTGCTCAACCAGACACCGCTCTTGCAAGACCGCATTAAAGGTCTCGTGTTCGCCATACGTCATGGCTCCGGGCCCGCTATTTGAATTCGGACAGGTGAGCGTCTCTCGCAGGTGAGCACGGAAGGACAAACTGTCTGATGCCCTGAGTTCCCTCCCTTCCTCGCGTGGCCCGTTCCTTGCTGTGTGAACTCAGACAAGTTTCATGATCTCCCCGGACTTGGTGTTACCATCTGTAAAATGGGGATGTCCAGAGTACTTAGCTCTCAAATTCTCTTTTCAGAATTAAACGACAAAGTACGTGTCACCGTGTGAAGCTGTGAGACTGTGCTTCGCGGGTCTATGTGGGGAGCGGAGCTGACCTAGGGCCCCCGCCAAGGCTCCAGAATCATCTGAATTTGCACCAAAGCCTCGCCCCTCAGCTGCTCCCACCAGGGACCAGGCAGGAATGCTGAGGGAGGCCCGTTCCTGGGGAACAGCGGGCTCCAGTGAGGGGTGTCTGGTTCAGGATGACCCACGGCCTTGCCAAACCCCCTCAGAACGGTAAGGCAGTCTGAGTCGCTCCCCCTCCCCTGGACTCAGGCCGGACCTGCATTGGACGGGCCTCCTCCCTCCCAGCCTCTCGGGCTCCGGCCCCAAGAGCATCCTGCAGGTAATCTCACCCCGGCTTGGGCTGCTTGGAGGACCAAGTCTAACAGACAACGTGCTAGCTATTGTCACTATTAACCGTGATCATTCTAGTTCTTTGGCAACTAAAGCTTGGCCCAAGTCCAAGGCCACTCCCTGGTACTCCCGCTCCAGGCCTTGACCTGGGAGATGGCGGCTCTGCCCCAGGGCTCCAGGGAGCACAGCCACAGGGAGCGCGTCAGCACTGGCCTGGCTCACAGCACACTCGCCAGGGCTGACTGCTCACTGAGATCATCGTCTCCTTACCTTCGAGTCTGCATGTACCTAAAGCTCCCGCCCTCCCCAGCTGATGTGCATGAAGGGGGCTGGCAGTCACGTTCACAGGCTGATGTCCTCGGGGGCTGGCTGTCTCTGACTCTCCCTGTGGGTGCGGTGGGGGAGGAGGCCCACGGGTAGCTGTGTGATCCCAGGCAGGTCTCTCGACCACTCTGGGCCGCCCTTTCTCACCCTGAGATAACCATCCCTGCTTTGTCTACCTCACTGGGGCACTGCACTGGGCACATCTGTGGGCACTGTGCTGGGCACTGCGCTGGGCACAGCTCTGGGCACTGCGCTGGGCACAGCTGTGGGCACTGTGCTGGGCACTGCACTGGGTACAGTTGTGGGGTCTATGCTGGGTACAGCTGTGGGCACTGCTCTGGGTACAGCTGTGAGCACTGCTCTGGGTACAGCTGTGGGCACTGCTCTGGGTACAGCTGTGAGCACTGCTCTGGGTACAGTTGTGGGGTCTGTGCTGTGTACAGCTGTGGGCACTGCTCTGGGTACAGCTGTGGGCACTGTGCTGGGTACAGCTGTGGGCACTGTGCTGGGTACAGCTGTGGGCACTGCACTGGGCACTGGAGTCCAGGAGGAACAAACATGGCAGTGCCTGCAGGCTGGGGGGTCTGCAGACAGGAGCACAGAGGCTGTAGAAGGGCCAGGAGATACCATGTATTGTTGGAGCTCCACGGAGGGGCGGGGGGTCCAAGAGGGCTTCCTGAGCAGGCGGCACTGGCACGGAGCCTCCGTGATGGGCAGGCGGTTGAGATGGGGCCTGAACAAAGGTGAAGCCAGCAGGGCACGCACAGAGCGTTTAGGGACAGAGCGTCCGGCTTTGGGAAGCCAGGCCCCAGGAAATGCTGGCACCCCCTGACCAGAGGGCCCGGGGCCGGCTGGGAGGCACCTGGCTGCGCAGGCCCAAGGGCAGGTGAGGAGGCTGGGAGCAGACGGAGAGATGAGCCGGGGACCTAGGAGCTGCTCCCGAGGCCCCAGGTGGCAGGACGGTCCGCGTGCCTGCACCCTGCACCAGGGCCACAGAAACAACGCCTCGGTGGGCGGCTCCGCCGCGGGCCCTGCACCGTGCCAGGCACGCCAGGCATCCTTCCCCTCGACCCTCCCCCTCCTGCAAGGCAGCACCTCGCCCCTTCCCGGGAGCACGCCGAAGCCCGCAGCTCAGAAAACTCCCCAGGGTGCCACCGCCATAGCCAGGACTCAAACCCAGGCCTGGGCCCCGGACTCAGGCTCTCAGCCTCTGTGTCCTGCTTCCGGGACCAACAGCCTCTCGGGCTCCCACCCAGACGCCTCACCTGCATGAGGGTCCTGGAAGCTCAGCCCACGAGGGCCGAGGGGTTCTCCCGTTTCACTGATGGAGAACCAGGTCGTGGGAGGGCACGGGGCTCGCTCCCGGCCACACACCTCAGAACTGAATGGACGCGCACCTCCCGGCCACCCAGCCGGCGGGCCCTGGGCTGGGCACCACCGAGCTGGTGGAGGGGCCCCAGGGAGACGCTAGACGCCGGGGGAGGTCCCGGAGCCGGAGGCGAAGAAGGCACCAGCCACTGGCTTTCACCAGACCACAGGAGTGAGTGTTTTTTTTATTGCAAAGTCGGTTTTGAAATGTCAAAGCACATCGCAGATCAGCGCCCCTGAGCCCGTGGGAGAGCACGTGAGCTGGGGGGAGAGCCCCTGGGCACACCCAGGACGAGGCCCGCTCCCAGGCTCCAGGTCAGGTTCTGACCCCCCCACCCCCCAATGGAAGCGCTCCCTCGGCCTCCAGGGCCACTCACCCTGGCCTCGCCAATGGCTCTTCCTGAGAACCATGGCTTCCCTGAGGCCAGACCACCAGCCAGGTCATGACCTGCTGCAAAAGGTGCAGGTTCCAAAGGGACCAGGCTGAGACAGTGAGTGCACCACCAGGCGGTGGTGTCTGCAGGCAGAATCCCAGGGGCGGGGGGCAGAGGGGGGCTCAGGAGAGATGCGGGCAGGGAGTGTTTCATTTCACACCCACACCTGCACCCAAACCAAAGGTGTGCCAAGTAGAGGCAGCAGCACAGACAAAGGTGTAGTGATAGGCAGTTTAGGAGGTTTTCTGCCGACAGGAGGAGGCAGTGCTTGTAAGGTGGGGTTTTGGGGATGGGGGTGGGGGCAGGGCGTGAGGCTGGAAAATAGGGCTGTGCAGACAGTGAGTGACTTTCCAGGTGACATTGGTATTTTTTCGGTGGGCAATGGGGAGCCACGGATGGTTGTAGAGGAGAAGAATAACATCACCAGATCCTTGCTACGGATGGATGTTCCTCATTCGTGCTTGTGTGGCCGCCCAGACCATGTGCACACCTGTGCCCTGTTACACTGTGAACCTGAGCACAGGGCCTGCCTCACCCACCTCCCCTGCCCAGGTGTCCGCACTCAGCCCTGGATTCAAGCCTCAACCAGATCAACGCCTCGGATTTGGGCCCGTCACTGTGTCTATGAATGCGTCTCACTATTGAAAAGTACGAACAATAAAACCACCCTCACAGGGCTTTTGTGAAATGAAACTGGAGCCCGGATAGTGCAGCCGTGAGCACAGTGGGTGTTGAATGAGCCTCAGCTCCCCGCTCCCAGTGCCCCCGGGAATAATCGTCCGATCATGAGGAGCCTGCCGTCTGAGGAGGGAAGGGGCTCTGGGCTGCCAACTCTTCTCCCTCAGTCCCCGACCTTCCAAACCTCCAACCCACTGCCCCTCTGTTACAGAAGAAGGTCGAGGGCCTCGGCTGGTATTCCAGGCTGCCACCCTCTTACCCCGCCCCCTCTGCACCACCATACGCCCTGAGCCCTGCTTGGTGCATGGGGGAAGGGGGACCAGGCCCTGGAGAAGCCAAAGGAGTCACTCTCATGGGGCACAGCCCCTCCCCAGGCCCCGAAGGCCAACCTGGGCCCTCCCAGATCTGGCCACAGGGAGGAGGGGAGCCAGGGCTGGGCCAGCTGGGCTGGGGACCCACCTGGCTGTGCGTGCCCTGCTAGGCCAGGAGGGCCAGAGGGGGGCTCTGGACCCTTACCCTGAAAGTGGCCCAAGGAGCGGAAGCAGTAGGTCCCCTGGTGCATCTCAGAAATGCCACCCTCCGGGATCAGAGCCTGCACTTAAACCCCAGTCCCCGGGAGACTGAACACCGGAGTCTGAGGAACACAGGCGAGTCCCCCCACCCCGTGACAGTCCCCGTAAACCTGGGGCTGAGCTGGAGGGATCCCGGCCCAGCCACAGGGCGAGGCCAGGCCTCTGCCTACCTCGGTCTCCCGCAGCCGGGCCTCCAGGGCGGCCCGGGGCCCCTGGGTGTTGTCATTGATCTGCAGCCGCTCCTGCACCGCCTTCATCCACTCCCGGGCGTCCTCCACGCTGCCCTCGAAGCCCTCCTGGGGCTGTTGAGTCATGGCACCTGCGGGCTGGAGGCAGGACCAGGTGAGATGGGGCAGGTGGGCGGGACGCAGGGGGCCCAGGGCAGGTGGGTGGGGGGCAAGGCAGGCAGGTGGGTGGGACACAGGGGGCCCAGGGCAGGTGGGTGGGGGGCCCAGGGCAGGCAGATGGGGGCCCAGGGCAGGTGGGTGGGGGACCCAGGGCAGGCAAATGGGGGGCCCAGGATAGGCAGATCGGGGCCCAGGGCAGGCAGATGGGGGGCCCAGGACAGGCAGATGGGGGCCCAGGGCAGGCAGATGGGGGGCCCAGGACAGGCAGATGAGGGGCCCAGGGCAGGTGGATGGTGGCCGAGAGGGTGGGGGAGACTGTGCCTATGGACAGGTCCACCCCACCCCTGTGCTCAGACAGGGGGGCATAGTCCGGGTGATTATGTTTGTCAAAGAGCCAAGGCCTGGAGACAGGCAGGAACGGCGCACAGGCCTGGCTCTCCTGTCGGGGAGCCCGACAGCGGGCCCAGGGCGCCCGGGAGGCGGGGACTCTCTCTGGCCTCTCAGCCTCCCTGCTCAGGGCTCACCGACCTGGGGACACAGGGGACCGCCCTCTGACCCTCAAACACAGTGGCCTGAGGTGTCAGCAACAGATAATGAATCTTGATCTGAATGAATCAAAAGCCTCAATTTCAGAAACCACTTTTGGCATCAGCCACGCTGACACTCGCCCCTGAAAGTAACATGCCAGGCGGGACGGCCTGTTAGCCCCGGGCCTCGCCGAGCCACACACCACCTGCCCTGGCCGGCCGCCGCTGACACCAGCTGCCTGGGAGGCCTGCCTGCTGGTAGGTGTCCGGCCTAACCAGCCCCTCTCTGCACTGCCCGCCCTCCCTCACCCTCCCCTCCGCTGTGGGTGAAGTCTCTTTCTCTAAACCCCTCCAAGCGCTGGCAAAACTCCCCTGGATGCCAGTCCTTGTTGTCTGTGTATGGGAACTCCAAGCTACTTTGGATTAAAATTCTTTAAATCTGCATTTTAGGTAAAGCATGTGTCTAGCTTAATCTCTAGTCTCCCATAATGCCTTGCCTTCAGAGTAAGCCTCCAGCGAATGTCGTTGAAATAGCCCAGAACTGGTATAAAGTTTCCTGCACCCGAAACCGGCCACAGCATTAGTTAAAATGGCAAAACAAGACAAAGCAAAACTAGAACAATCCAGCCGCCCGATACCGGGGGCGGCGTAAGCAGAGAAGTGCTCTACCCGTGGGCTTTGGAACGCTGTGCAGCCAGCGGAAGGATGTGCTGCAGGTGAATTTGCGATGGAGAATCCTTAGCGTCAAACGACAGCACCAAACCGAGACAAGACGGCACATGTCGTGGTCACAGCGCTACAGCCAATACAAGCAAAACAGAACCACCACCGCATACAGACGGTAGAGACAGGTTGGGAGGCCTTGCCGTTGGCGTGCTCATGGGCCGGGCCTGCGTGAGGGGCGTGGGCAGGAGGGCGAGGCCCCGCCCCTGTGCCCCCAGCCTCTCCCTGGCACGGTGTCTGGAGGCCCCTTGGGGAAGGACAGTTGTCTGTGGTGGATGGAGCCACAGCTGGAAGGTTCTGTTTCCTTATTTTCCTCTTAGGCACTCTGTGAATCTTCCAGAACGGGCAGCCATTGCTTAACAAACAAACTGCTCTTAACGTCGGCTGAGCTGTTTGCCGGCCCTTTCTTCGCAGCCACCAGTGGGCTGTGCAACAGGCGTGGACTGGACTCTGGGCACCCTCCCTGGGGCCCTGCACGGGGCGGACTCTGCCCTCGAACCGCGTGGAAGGGTGCCTGCGGCGAGGGGGAGCGGGTGCCCAGGGAGAGCCCACGCACCCCCACCCCCCACCCTTCAGGGCTCAGCCTCCCAACCAGGCTTCCTTTCGGAGGCTTGGGTTTCTTCTCACAATTTAATTCGCTCCCCGCAGCCACGCCCAGGCTGTGAATGCTCCTGGGAAAAGCGTCTAACGTGGTGCCTGAGGCTTTCACCTCTCATCCAGGGGGTGGCTTGATCGGCTTCCAAAAGCTCCGCTTTCATTTGTGTAAAACGAGACCTGGGAGAGCGGAGACAGGCTCCCAGGTTTCAGCCGCCAGGCGATGGGAAGCTCTAGTTACCAAGAGGCAGGGGGTTTGACGGCCCTCCCAGCGGGATGCCCGGGCCCCTGAGGCCTGGAGGTTTGGGGACCCCGAGGTACATCAAATGGGTGCGGTGGGGCTTGGGCGGGCCTCCGACCCACGGATCAGCCCCGCGGACGGGCCTAACCCCCTGGGGTGTGGTGAGGTGGCGGCAGAGTTCAGAGGCCGGCTTTGTTCCTGCTCCCACAAACCCCTCCCTTCCAACTCAACGAAACCCAGGATGCGGCAGGTGCTCCCAGCTGGCCTCCACCACGGCCACGGCCACGGCAGCAAATGCGGCAGCGCCCCTGCCTGGAGATGCCCCGAGGGAAAGTGCACGTGGAACAGGGTGGGGGCTGCGGTGGGTGAGCTAGACGCCGGTGGGGGCTGTGAATGGAGTGGGCTGGGCTCTTAACCTTTCCTGTGGGCTCCTCAGAACAAAGGCTTGGGAGGCGGAGAATAAAACGCGGGGGGTTACAGGGGAAACCGATGCTACAGCAGTTACCGCAACCGCCAATGGAACTCCTGCGGCCCCTCCACACACTTCTTCATGAACGCGTTCCATCGCCAGACCTGTCCACGGGGCGCTATTGAAACAGGCTTTCTCTCTAAACGCACATCCACTCGCCCACTTCAGTGATCTGTGGCAGCGTGGTCCACCCACTGGCCCCCGGGCCCCAGCGTGACCCGTTTCCAGCCCCTCACCACCAAGCCCAGGCCTCCTCACCAGTCGGCACAGCCAGCACCGGGCACGACCTCTGTCCCCTCTGCTGAGAGCACGCTCCCTCCCCAAAGCCTCGCCATCCCGGTGCCAGTGGGCGAAGTGACCGGCGCTTTGGGAATGTCAACTACAGAAACCAACGAGCAAAGCAAACGCTGTGCAGTACGAGGCCGAGGGGGCGGAGGGGCCTCCTAAAATCAGACAGGAGAGGAGAGGACCCTGGCCTTGGAGCAGGCGCCGCGGCCTCTCTGGGCCTCCGTTTCCCCTCTTTCCCCTGTGAGTGTGGACCAGGGCATCTGAGGAAGGGACCGCTGAGGCTGTGGCTTGAGATCTGTGAGCCAGGCCGCGCCTGGCCCTGAGCTGGGCCGGGGAGTGGCCTCCGCCCTCAGCTGTCAGCCTGATCTGGCCGGGCCCCTCGCTCCCCGGGGCGCCCCTCCTCCACCAGCGCGGACCAGCACCGGCCCCTCCAAGGCAGGCCCAGAGCCTTCCGGGCGCTGCCCAGGGACCTTCACATCAGCCGGGCTGCTCTGTTTTTGTTTAGCGTCGGACAATACATATTTTTAGACTTTGCAGGCCACATGCAGTCTCTGTTGCACATTGTTTGATTTTACAGCATATTTTTGCTTTAAAAATGCAAGACCCGTTCCACATTCACTGGCTGTTTACTAGTAAAACAGACGGCCAGCCCATGTGGCCTGTGGCTGTCCCTTGCCACCCTCGCTTTCGTGGTCCAAGGCTGCAGCCAGCGGCCGCCAGGAGCCACCGTGGCCGGCGGGCGGCAGGGGTAGCTGGCGGAGGGTAGATGTCAAGGCCAGAAGGACCTAGGATTGGTCCTGGGAGCCCCGGCCCAACCATTTTGGCAAAAAAAAAAAAAAATGTGCTTCAGGATTTAAAAAAACACAAACTTTCCATCTCCAGGTCCCAGAAGCAGCTCTGGGTGCGGCTGCGGGCGTGCCGCTGGGCAGAGGCCACAGCCCTTTCTGGTGCCAGCTGGCGTGGGCCTGGGAGGAGGCAGTTAGCACGGAAACGGCCTGGTTCCCAGCATCGGTGTGGTTATCGCGAAGGACAGCCGGGCGCACAAGGACTTTATTTTCCCGGATGCAAGGTTGGGCCAGGGCAGGCGGTGGCACGGTCACGACAAAGAACATCCTCAGGTTGAACCTGGATCAAAGCCATTGGTCAAAAACAGGACCTTTGTAATACTTTCAACAATAAAGATTTATTTTTAAAAAAGCCACTGATCGGCCTGTGAGACTGACCGGTCCACAGAAGGTGGGCGACACCCGGGGGCACCGCTGGGGACACGCTTCCCCAGGAACGGACTGTGAGGCCGAGAAGCTTCCAGAATCTGAGTCATCAGCTCAGCAGGGGGAGAGTTTAATTCTTTTCCATTATTTAATATGTTTTTTTAATTGATTTCAGAGAGGAAGAGAGAGGGAGAGAGACAGAGAAACATCAATGATGAGAGAGAAACGTTGATCGGCTGCCTCCTGCACACCCCCTACTGGGGACCGAGCCCGCAACCTGGGCCTGTGCCCTGACCGGGAATGGAACCATGACCTCCTGGCTCATGGGCCAACGCTCAACCACTGAGCCACACCGGGTGGGCAGGAGCGTTTAATCTGAGTCATAGGGAAGGTTCAGGGTGAATAAAGCGGTAGAAATGTCATTTTTTAAAAGCGTGTGGTGGACGGAAAGGTGCTGGAGAAGGCGACATGGACGTAAACCAAAGAGCCAGCCAGGGGAGAGGCGGCCCTGGCATTGCCCCTTCAGTCCTGGGCGTCTGAGAGGCAGGTCATGGTCGCGGTCCTGCAGGAGGCAGCAGGGGGAGCAGGGAGGCTGAGCAGGGTCAGCGGGGGGACCCCAGAGCTTCCTCCCCCACCTGCTCCTTCCTCTCAGGACGCTGCGGGCATCGCGGGGCACCTGCTCAGGACAGGGCTGCCCTCACCTTCCCCATCGCAGGCACGGACGCCAAGACTGAGTGACCGGCCGGGGACGCAGAGCTGTGGCAGCATTAAGGCTTGAACCTGGCTCTGTCGGATTCCAGCGCCTGAGGTGGTCTCACTGACCACACTGGCTCCAAAGGCAGGTCCGACTCCATCACCCATCAGAGCGCCGAGCAGGCCTGGGAGGACTGGCCAGGGTCGCACCCCGAGGGAACCCGCTCTGAGTC